GATCAACCATGTCACTACAAAAAGTCAAATAAACACAAAAGAGGCAGTAATGGAGGAAATGAATATAAAGCTATAAAACATACAGAAAATAAATAAAATGTTAAAAGCAAGTCCTTCCCTATCAGTAAATTTGTAAATGCATTAAACTCCTCAAGCAAAGACATAGCTGGCAGAATGGATAAAAACATGATCTAACTATATTCTGTCTACAAAAGATTCATTTTAGATCTCAGGACACAAAAAAGTTGCAAGTGAAAGGATGGAAAAAGATATTCCATAAATAACCAAAGGAGAGCTGAGGTGGCTATGCTAATATTACACAAAATAGACTTTAAGTCAAAAATTGTTACAAGAGACAAAGAAGGACATTATTTATTGTTAAGTGGGTCAGTTCACCAAGAAGAAATAACAATTACAGGCACACCTTGTTTTGTTGCACATTGCCTTATTGTACTTTGCAGATAGTGTGTTTTTTACAAGATCCTCCACCAACAAAAGGATTAGAACTCGCTGACAGCTCAGATGATGATTAGCATTTTTTAAGCATTGAGGTATTTTTTAATTAAAGTATGCACATTGTTTTTTTAGATATAACGCTATAGCACACTTAATAGACTGCAGTATAGTGTAAACATAACTTTTATATGCACTGGGAAACCAAAAAATTAGTGTAACTTGCTTTATTGTGGTGGTCTGGAACTGAACCCACAATATCTCCGAGGTATGCCTTATTAGCATATATGCATCAAACATCAGAGTTCCGAAATATATGAAGAAAACATTGACAAAATTGAAGGGAGAAACAGACACTTCTACAATAATAGTTGGACACTTTAATACCACACTTTCAATAATGGATAGAACAGCCAGTTCAATGAGGAATAGAGGACTTGAACCAACTGGACCTAACAGATATATACAGAACATTCACCCCACAACCGTTAGAATACATATTTTTCTCAAGTGCAAATGGAACATTCTCCAGGACAGGATATATGTTAGGCTACAAAACAAGTCTAAATAAATTTTAAAAGACAGAAATCATACAAAATATCTTTTCCAATCACAATGGAATGAAACTGGAAACCAATAACAGAAAGTAAACTGGAAAATTCACAAGTATGTGGAAATTAAACAGTACACCCTTAAACAACCAAGGAGCCAAAGAAGAAATCACAATGAAAATTGTAAAATACCTTGAGACAAATGAAAATACAACATACAGAAAGATATGTGATAGAGTAAAAGCAGTGCTAAGAGGGAAATTTATAGCTATAAATGCCTACATTAAAAAGGAAGAAAGCTCTTTAATTGACAACATAACTTTACACCTTAAGAAACCAGAAAAAGAACTAATTAAACCTAAAGCTAGCAGAAGGAGGGAAATAATAGGCTAGAGCAGAGATAAGTAAAATAGAGAAGAGTAAAAGAAATAGAGAAAATCAACAAAACCAAAGTTTGCTTCTTTGAAAAGATCAACAAAACTGAAAAATATTTCGCTAGATTGACCAAGAAAAAAGAAAGACAACTCAAATAACTAAAATCAGAAATGAAAGTGGGGACATTACTGCTGATTTTACAGAAATAAAAGGATTGTAAGGGAATATCATGAACAACTGTGCACCAACTGAACAAATTCCTAGAAACATACAACTACTAAGACTGAATCATAAAGAAACAGAGAAGCTGAACAGACCTATAACTAGTAAGGATATTCAATTAGTAATAAAAAAAAAACCTCCCAACAAAGAAAAGCCTAGGACCAGATGGCTTCACTGGTGAAGTCTACCAAATTCTGAAACAGAATTAACACCAAACTTTCTCAGACTCTTCCAAAAAATTGAAGAGAAGGGAACACTTCCTAACAATCTGAGGCCAGCATCACCCTGATACCAAGGCCTGACAAAGACACTGCAAGAAAAGAATAGACTGATATCCCTTATGAATACCTATGCAAAACAAAAATCCTCAATAAAATACTAGCAAACAGAATTCAGCAGCATCTTAAAGGATCAAAAACCATGACCAAGTGGGATTTAGTCCTGCAATGCAAGGATGGTGCAGCATTTGAAATCAATTGATGTAAAACACCACATTAAAAGAAAGACGGCAAAAAATACACAATCATCTAAAATTGCAAATTTTGCTATGTATATTTTACCATAATAAAAGACAAAAACACACAAACCAACAAAACCCGGCTAAACTGCTTCCCCAAGTGGTTGTAGCATTTTACACACCTATCACTGATGAATGAATTCCAGTTGCTCCACATCTTCATGAACATTTGGTGTTGTCACTCTGTTAAATTTTTAGCCATCCTAGTGGGTGTGTAGTGGTATTTCACTGTGGTTTTAATTTCCCTGATGACTAATGATGTTCAGCACTTTTTCATATGCTTATTGGCCACTCATATATCTTCTTTTGTGAAGTGTCTGTTAAAATATTTGGCCATTTTTAATTAGGTGTTTTTATTATACAGCTATAGTTCCTTATATATCCTGAATACAGTCCTTGTCATATATGATTTGTGGATATTTTCTTCCAGTGAGGCTTGCCTATTAATTTTCTTGGCTGTTTAGATGAGAGTAATTTCTGAATTTTGATAAGTCTCATTTATCAAATTTTCTTTCTTTTTTTTTTTTTGTGAGGAAGATCAGCCCTGAGCTAACATCCATGCCAATCCTCCTCTTTCTGATGAGAAAGACTGGTCCTGGGCTAACATCTGTGCCCATCTTCCTCCACTTTATATGGGACGCCGCCACAGCATGGCCTGATAAGCGGTGCACCGGTGCATACGCGGGATCCGAACCTGGGCCACCAGCAGCAGAACGTGCGCACTTAACCACTACGCCATGGGGCCGGCCCCAAATTTTCTTTTTTATGGTTGTTGCTTTCTGTACCTAAGAAATATCTGTCTCCTTCCAAGTAACTGAGGATATTCTCCTGTTTTTCTCTAAAAGCTTTACGGCTTTAGGTTTTGTATTTAGGTCTATGATCCATTGTGAAGTGATATCTCTCTATGATATGAGGTAGGAGTTGTGGTTCATTTTTTGTTTGATAGAAATACCCAACTATTCCAACACTACCTGCTGAAAAAATTTTCCTTTCTGCACTGATTGTATAAACATGGTCTATATATGGGATTTCTATTCTGTTCCATCATATATTTGTTATCTTTATGCCAGTACCACACTGGCTTGATTACTGTTTAAATTCTGAAGCCAAACAGTGTAAATCTTGCAACTTTTTCTTATTCAAGTTTGCTTTGCTTATTCAAGTCCTTCATATTTCCATATAAATTTTAGAATCAGTTTGTCAATTTTTACAAAAAAATCCTGCTGGGATTTTGATTGAGATTGCACTGAATCTATACATCAACTTGGAGAGAACTGTACCTTAACAACATTGAGCCTTCCAATCTGTGGACATGGTATACCTCTCCATTGAGTCAAGTGTTCTTTAATTTCTAAGCAATGTTTTGTGGTAAAGGACTAACTTTCTTTTGTTAAATTTATTCCTAATTTTTGTTTTTTACTGCTATTGTAAATGAGATTGTGTTTTAGTTTCATTTCCCAGTTTTTTGTGGCTAGTACACAAGAGACAACAGACTTGTATAATGAGCTTGTGTCCTATGCTATTACTAAATCATCACTATTATTAATGCTAGTAATTGTCTTGTACAGAGTTTTCAATGTAAAAAAAATCATATCATCTGCAAATAGAAACAAATTTATGTCTTACTTTCTGTTCTTTGTACTTATTTTCCCTTGCCTTATTGCAATACCTAGAACTGCCAATACAATGTTGAATAGAAGTGGTAAGAATGGGTACCCTTGCCTTGTTTCCAGTCTTAAGGAGAAAGTATTCAATATTTCAACATTAAATATAATGTTAGCCATAAGTTTTTGCAGATGCCCTTAATAAGGTAAGTTCCTTCTATTCCTAATTTGCTAAGAGTTTTTATGATGAATGGGTGTTGAATTTTATCAAATGTTTTTTCTACATCTACTAAAATAATCATATGATTTTTCTCATTTATTTAATTAGTATGGTGAATTATAATAATTGGTTTTTCTGATATTAAACCAACCTTGCATTCTTGGGGAAAACTATTTGGTGTTGATATATTATCCTGTTTATATACTATTCAATTAAGTATCTCTGCATCTATATTCATGAGGATAATGGACTGTAAATTTCTCCTGGTATTGTCTTTGTCAGGTTTAGATATCAGAATGATAATGGCTTCATAAAATGAGTTGGAAAATGTTCCCACTTCCTCTATTTTCTGATACAATTTGTAAGACTGGCATTATTTCTTCCTTAAATGTTTGACAAAATTCCTCAGTGAAACCATTTGGATACAGAATTCTGGGTTGACCATTTTCTCCTAACAGCACTCTAAAGATGCTGTTCCAGGGTCTTCTGGCCTTCATAGCTTCTGATGTGAAGTTAGAAGACAGGAGCATCGTTGTTCTCTTATAAATAACACGTCATTTTTCTCTGGCTAACTTCAAAAAATTTCTTTATCTTTACCTTGTAGCTGCTTGACTAGGACATGCCTGGGCATGGGTTAGAGTTCACTGGGTTTCTTGAATCTGTATGTATGCCTTTCACTAAATTTGGAAAAATTTTAGCCATCATATTTTCTAATTTTGTTTTTCTGCCCCAGAAGAATTTTTTCTACCCAGAGAGAATATGAAGGGCAGACAAAAATATAACAACATCTTTAAAGTGCTATTAGGAGAAAACTGTCAACCCAGGATTCTATATCCAGTGGAAATATCCTGCAAGAATAAGGGCAAAAGAAACACATTTTCAGATAAGGGAAAACTAATAGAATTCATTACTAGTAAGCCTATGAAATGTTCTTCAAGGACAGAATTTCATTCAGAACTCTACTTCCTAGTTTTAAGTCCATTACCTCTTATGGTATTATGGTGTTTCTATCTCACTCTCTCTCTTTTACTTAAGGAACTTAAGAGGCTGAATCTTACCTGAGAAAAATATTCTTCTGAGATGCGTGCAGCCCACTCAATGCACTGTTCTAGGGGGCGGCAGGGATTGGACACATCAGCACACTTAATCAGCATTCGTTTGATCAGAGTCCGGTTCTCTGGAGTCCTGAGCATAGTGTTTATGGCTTCTTGATCTTTATCAGTTTCCTAAAACATGAGTGGAATTCAAAGCAATCAAAATGGGTCCCCTGGTACCAAGCCCTGTCTTAATGGTATGGTCCCACTGTAAGCACAACAAGGCACTGTCCAGGATCTACAAGTTAAGGGTCTCACAAAACAGAATGCTGAGGATACTCTGAGCATTGAGCTTGGCCCCTCACTTTACAAAGGGGAAAACCAAGGCCCAGTGAGATTCCAGCAGGACCCTAGGAGTAGAAGGTAGCACTGGGGGTTGGTGTATCTGCCCTTCCCCTTCTTCTTGGCTCTTTCTTCTCTTCTTCTCACTCTAAATATTTCTTACAGTTGCCTTTTCTTTCTATTCTACTATCTCTAATGCTCTCCCTTGATAAGAACTCAAAGACTGGTTTTATCTTTTATTAAATTTACTAAAAAGAGTGTGAACTGAGAAAATAAAAGGCTTCTCTGCCCTCACAACAAAGAAAGTCTTGTGGTCCACCAGGCTCCCTGCTTCTCATAACCCAGTCCCCAACCCAGCCTTGTAATAGGTGTGATCATGGGAATTAGTTGTCAGTGTACCAAGACTGTCAGATACAGTGATACTTCCTTAACATTATCTTAACAGTTTATGGTATACAAAGGACTTAACAGTCATTCCCTTTTGATCTGCACTCACAAAAAGATCTTGTGGTAGGTATGAAATGCAGTATTATTTACTATTACATTTTACAGATGAGGACACTGGGACTCAGAAAGGTGAAGAGACTAGTCCAAAGCTATACAGCTGAGTGAGGATAAGAAATTAAGTTCTACCTTTAGCACTGGGCTCTGTCCATTCACAGTACCATATGCTTGTCTGATTCACAAGGAGCCCTTCTGGATATGGATTCTCAATCCATGGTATAATGGACCCTCTGAAGCAAATGTGGGTTGGAAGAGGAAGTACTGGGGCAAAGAGCACTGTTAAAGATGAGAGGAAGCAAGCAAGTCTCCTCATTCTAATTCTGTGCCCATCAAGCAAATTTCTAAGAGTCAGTCACGTGATTTCAATGAGTAATCGCCGTAGTCCAAGAAGGCCTGATGGTCCCATCTCAGTGGGGAAAGATCTGCCATCAAGATGGGCAGGTGGCATCCTGAGTCTAGGCTGCCTAGTCTCCTAGAGAGTGCCAGAATGGACACTACCAAGGCTGCCTCAGTAGTTTTTCTTGCTCCAAGTGTCCCACTGCCAACCAGCTTTGTGCTGACCTTTCTCTCTTCAGATGTGTTAATACTTTCAGTTTGACTACAGTTCAGTACGGCCAGTTGGAAACGATTTTCTTTCATGTTACTTTGTCCCTGCTCTGACCCACTGGAGACTGATTTCCAGTCTCTCAGATGTACCCCCAAGTACTGACAACCGAGATGAGAAATGCGACTGTCAAGTGGAATAGGATTCAGCTGTGTCTGCGAACTGCCCAGATAGATAGAGGAAACCAAGTCTGTGAGGTATGCGGTCTCTTTCTGTGGCATGGGGTCAGCCAGAAGCAGTGGCCCAGGTGACAACCAGCCCTATCCAGGATGGCAGAGCAGGAGCCAACAAAAGGGGCTGGTGTGGGTGCTTCTGCATTGAAGTCCTTGGAAAGGGAGTGAAGTCAAAGGCAGGCTGACAAACTGAGAGAACAGGGAAGGCTGAAGGGAGCAGAGTTCTCAACAGGTTTCAACTCAGGCTAAACAGGAACAAGTGTGAAGGAGTAATAAGCTAGAAAGCCAGGGACAAACAAAGGCCATGACCAAACAAATGAGTTGCAGAAGTAAACTGGAGTTAGAATTCAAGGAATTGTGATCCTATCCTGATAGGATAAGTCATCTCTGTGCACAGTAAAGATTCTCAGGATGGTGACAGGAGTTGGGGAGGAGGGCAGTGGAAAAGGCTGTGAGCTGGTGCCAAGATGTTCAGTGCATGTTGGGTAGATGGTAGGGCAGACACTTGGGCCTCAAAGGAAGAGGTTTCATGAAAGAACATATGCTCTAGGTGCTGATCTCACAAGGAATCTAATATCATAGATACCATTTATTAAGTGCCTATCTTGTGCCATGCCCATCAATCCGATGCCTTGAGATTTATTATGCCCAGTCTACAGACAAGGAGTTGGTGAAGCAGAACTAGGATGCAAACTCAGATCTGTCTGCTCCCTCAGCTGTGGTCTCCTGCCTGGCAAGAGGTTTAATGTCATCCTTGCCAGGCAGTTGTGGACTCCATGCCTCAAATCCAGAAATTAGGGGCAACAATAATGTCACCCTTGTGACCAAAATACAGTCCTTCCCAACCACCACCCTCCTGTGACATAGACCAACAGAGGATAGTTTTTGCTACCACAGAATGTGCACAGTGGGGAGTGGCTGGTGAGAGACCTCAAGAGTTCCAACTGACCCCAGAATGCCTGAGAAGAGGGGAAGGGGACAATTGTAAGAAAGGGTGCAGGAATAGTCCACCTGTCTAAAATTAGTTTATCTAAAACTTGACTCTCCCTTCAGAATTTTCACATCTATTTTTGGATGTCCTATTTTTTTTCCTGCCAAGTTTTTGTACTTTAAATAATTTCTTAACCACTGGAAATTAAATTCAATGATCCCACTGGGGGAACCCTTCCATGGCTCAAAACCTTTCCAGGTTTTGAAATTAGTTGATAGTTTAAAAACTACTTGCATGGTGTTGATCTCTTTTGGTTTTCTACTTCTGGCATTAATTTGATATCCTAACCCATGTTTCCCCACAACACATAGGGATAAGGGCCCCAAACATAGGTTCTCTTTGCGATTAGTTTCCCTTACCCCATTTTTTTCTAGTGTTGCCAAGGGCTTGTTGATGCTGTTGACAAATTTGTTGACATGCTCGAAGTGCTTTGTCATTTCTGTGGCTAAGACCATGTCGATAATACCCTGGCGCAGGGTCCGATAGTCATTCCTGTTGTAGACGACAAACAAGAAGATGCTACAGTTTATTGATCCAGACCAGACTCCTGAAAACAATCTTATCTAGGACACCTGTCTACTGTGGCCAAAATTTGCACATCACTGGAGGTCAGTCAGAGGGCACACTTTAAAAGAATGTGGAAGTTATAGGTTAGTGGCTAGATTGTTAGCAAGGGGAATCTGAACCCTAGTTAACTAGGGTTAACTAGTTAAGTTAACCCTAGTTAACTTAACCCTGGTTAACTAGAAGTTAACCAGAACCAAACAGATGCTTATGGGCAAGACTTTACAGATGCAATGTTCATGCTGTTGTCCTTCTGCAGCACAGGCATATAGTTCTTAGAAGAAAATAAGGTAGAACACAGCAGGTGTAAACAAAGCCAGCTCTCTTCATGAAGACAGATCTGTGGTCATGAAGAATGTATCCCACACAGAGGTACCTTGAGACCCATCAAGTTTCTAGTGCCCAGAAACTTAGAGGGCAGACCTTCTGACAGCTGAGAAAATCACAGGGAGTCTTTAACACCTTTTCTTCCAGCCCTTGTTCTTATTTACATTTAAAAATTCACTTTTTGAGGATGCAAACCATATAATTAAAAGTTCAAAAGGTATAAATAGCATGAAATGAAATCTCTATTCAACCTCTTTTTTTCCAGTCACTCTGTTTCTTTCCCTGGAGACAACCGAAGTTATCAGGGTCTCATGTATTTTTCTAAAGATAGCTGTTATATATACAAGCAACTATGAATAAAATCTACTTTAACTCTACCTCTGAAATTCTAGAACATGGCAAAAGGAAGGTTCATAAAATCAGGAATCTCCTTTTTTAAAAATTCCATATAAAACTTTCCTTTAAAAATCCAAATTAATAAGTATTCTTCATGGCAGAACACTTTTTCCTTCCTCCTGATATTTATGAAGTCCTGACCATGTATTAGGCATCACGCTAGACAATGAGGGTACAGAGATGAATGACAGACATATGACCACTGTGATCTTACAGAGCTTAAGAATCCAATCAGACATTAGACAAATAATGAAAAACGATTATTTAAAAATGTGGTTAAGCGCTATGAAGGAACTTGAGACTGAATAATTAGTGTGACAGGTCAGGAAAGGCCTCCTCGAGGAAGTGACATGTGAACAGAGACAATGATGAGAAGTCTGTTGGGCACAGGAGGGCAGAGGGGAGTGTTCCGGGCAGAAATGTAAGATGACAACTTCTCTGAGTCTATAAAAGCTCAAGATGTTAGCATTATACTTTGTCCTCTTGAAATGTCAAGAGCTGCACCTTGAAAACATTGTGCTAAGTAAAAGAAGCCAGTCACAAAAGACCACATATTGGGTATGCTTCCATTTATATGAAATGCCCAGAACTGGCAAATCTATGGAAATGGAAAGTAGATCAGTGGTTGCCTAGGGCTGAGGGAGTTGAGAGGAGAATGGCGAGTGACTGCTAATGAGTTCAAGGTTCTTTTGGAGGTGACGCAAGTGTTGTAAAATTGATTGTGCTGATGGTTGCACAACTCTGAATATACTAAAAACCACTGTACACTTTAAATGGGTAAACTGTATGGTATGTGAATTATATCTCAATAAAGCCCTTAAAAAAAAAAAAGAGAGAGAGAGAGGAACCAACATACTTTCCTACTCATTGTTCTTACCTCTCCAAGTTTTTAAAGATATTGCATTTGTCATCTCTAGTGGTCAGCTGGAAGGCCAAGGCCGCATGGTGGCTCTCCAGCACAGCAGTGTCATTATACAAAATGGCCAGCTCACTGCCAGCATTACACAGGAAGGAGTTGGTTCTCCCAGGGTGGTCCACATCGTGAACAGTGGCTGCGATGAGGGCGGCTACCTCATCAACCGGATCTAAAGTTTGCTAAAAACAAGAGAACTTTTAAAAACTGAGGCATGGCATTGAAAGCAAGGAAGCCTTCTGTATCATTTTCTTTCTGCCCTATTACTTTAAGGTAAGAATATTTCAGATTTCTGAGAAAAGCATACTGTTGAGCAAATCCAGTTTCCTATTACACTCAGAAACAGTTATATCTTGGCATATGTTTATTAGGAAAAATTATCTGATTCTCAGTCTCACCTAAGTTAAGGACTTACCAAAATACAGGGTGTCCTCAACAGATAAGAGTCACCTCCTCAGCCAGTCTGACTCTAGACCCATCACAAAAAAAGGTCCTTAGTCTGACATATTGACTTAGACTAATACAAACTAATATTACTAAATAAAAGAGAAATAATTTTTTAAAATATGCATCACTCACATTATTTGAGGGTTGGTCTACTTTTCTCCCCCCTTTTGGTGCCATCTTTTGTCAGGTTGATGTCAGGGCTTTATGAGTTTGGTAAAATGATCTGGAAGTTTTCCTTCTTTTTCAAGGTTCTGAAAAGGTTTTATGTAACATGGAACAATTCCTTAAAGGGCTCAAGAACTCACCTGTCCATCTGGATGAGGAGCCAGATTTTTTTTTTTTTTTTTGAGGAAGATTAGCCCTGAGCTAACATGTGATGCAAATCCTCCTCTTTTCACTGAGGATGATTGGCCCTGGCCAGCATCCGTGCCCATCTTCCTCTACTTTATGTGGGACACCACCACAGCATGGCTTGACAAGCAGTGCGTCGGTGTGCGCCCGGGATCTGAACCTGTGAACCCTGGGCCGCTGCAGCGGAGCGTGCACACTTAACCGCTACCCCACCAGGCCGGCCCCAGGAGCCAGGTTTTGAAGAAATTAGTTGATAGTTCAGAAGCTACTTCCACGGTATTGACCTCTTTTGGTTTTCTAGTTCTAGCATTAATTTGATTCAAAATATTCCTTCTTTCTTTCAATTTTTTTTTTTTGGGAAACCATCTATTTTAAGGCTTTTCAATTAGTACATAAGTGCATGGTACTTTCTTCTATCATTTTCCATTTCAGATGTGTGTATTTCTGAGTTTTCTGTATTTCTTGATTAGGTTGGCTAGAACTTTATTTTCCTAGTTATTTCAAAGAACCATTTTGAACTATCATTTTGCTCTTCCCATTCTGTAGGTTTTGATGTATAGGTTTCTTATTTTGTTGTTTTCTAAATAATCTGTTATTTTTGGTTTTATTTCCTTGTTTATCCCCAAATTATTCAAAATATTTTCTCGTTTGTAATGGTTGACATTTTTTATTTAACCTTTAGTTATAAAATTCTAGTTTTATTATGTTGTGGTTAGAAAATATAGCCTATGAAATTCTAAAGTTTATCAAGACCTTCATTGTGTCCTAGCATAAGATTATTTTTGGAAATATTCTATAGACACTTGAAAAGAAGGTGTATATCTAATAAATCAGTCTTGTAAATTTATTTAAATTGAAATTCAATAATTTTTAACTTTAAATGGGTTAACTGTATGATGTGAATTGTAAGTCAGTAAGTGCTATTAAAAATTAAGTTAGCTTTCTAAATTTATATTCGTATGTTATCTATAGAGTAGTTCAAAAGCAACAGTTACAGCAAAAATTAGGTTGTCTTTATATGCTGCACTACATTGATACAGACGTTCCTCTCCTGCCATTTGTTTTTGTACTTTATAAAACAGTCCTCTCTCCGGACTCTAATTCTACCTACAGTCTTGGTCATGATCTTTCTTAAAAATAGAAAAAAAAACAGGGAGCAGGGAAAGGGCAACTGAAGGTCTGACCTTCAGGCAATGATGCCTGGCTGTGTCATTCCTCATGAGACCCTATTTTCTTAGATACAAAACCAGTAGTTTCATTCTTCTGCTCTCAAATACTTCTAAAAGTGAAATGGCCATGCCACTGGAGCTCCCTGGACCCTTCGTGCCACCTTATGATGGTTGTAGAAGGAAATAACACAAATACGTTGGCAAATCTAGTTGCTGCTTCAAAAATTTCCCCAATGAAATAATTTATAACATGAAAGCTTTCTTAGGGAGCCTGGTGTGGGAGTGGGCAATGAATAACCTTCCTTGTATGGAACCTTTCTTCTGTGAGGCTCTCCTTACTGTGGCCTATTCCCATCCCCCTCTCCTGCAGCCTCAAAGCTGGAGCTAAAGCTGCTCAATGGCCCCCGGCAGACCCTGAGCTGTTCTGATTGGCTACCAGTAGGTGTCAGTGGTCACTGCACCTAATATTTGCAGCCCTATGGAGTCATTGAGTTAATAGTCCTCACCCTTCCTCCACTGCATTAACTCGGTTGAGCGGGGCAGGCACTGGGGATACAAAAGGAGCCTGCTGTCCAAATAGAGTGGATGGACCAGTAAGTAGGCATCAAATACAGTAAAATCATGAGCATGCCCAGGAGGGTATGGGAATACAGAGGAGGGGCACTTAAGTCAGTGCAGGGGTTGGAGGCCAGTCCAGGGAAGGCTTCCTAGAGGAAGGGAGGCTGACATGGATCCCCGAAGGACAGGTGGAGGTGTGAGGGAAGCTTCAGAAACTAAAGTGGTTTAGCATAGCCCAAACATGGCCTGTGCCAGGGAGCTGTGAACACCATACTGTGGAGTTTTAAAGTTTGAATCCTGTAGGAGATCGGAAGCTGCTCCTGGGACCGACATGGTTCAGAAAGCTCATGTTGGCAGCAGTGTGAGTGTGCTCCATAGGAGCAGGGTAGTCAGGAGTTCTCATCTGGCACAGTCTAGATGAGAAATGATGGGGCCCTCACTGGGACAGCAGCAGGGCACTATAAGGATGAGATGATTCTGAGAACATTTAGGGGTTATAGTAGGCAAGGTCAGATGATCTACCAGATGTCGAGGGCTCGAGGAGAGGAAAGATCTGAAGGTGACTCCAGGATTCTGATTCGGGTATCTGCTTGGATGATGGAATTCTAGACCAGGTAGGTAACTCTGGGTGGGAGCAGTGCTGGGCAAAAATGATGAACTTGGTCTCAAACCCTGCTGACTTTCAGGGACAGGTGGGGGCCCTAAAGCGCCAATATCCAACAGTTGGTTGGCTGTACTTGTCTGTAGGTTCAGTGAGACGACCAAAACAACAGTCCTATCTTGTTCTTGCTGGCTTTCTCCCCAGGGACCAAATCCTGCTCCTTATACGCCCATAGATTGGCGGGGGCCATGTCATACATTAACACCTCAACTCCCCAGAGCCACGGTGTGGCCTCCGGCCTGACTTCTCAGACAGCCACACCCTTCCCAGGCCAGGCTGCACACGTGCCGGGGCCATTCCTGAACAGTCACCCTGTGTAGCAACTGGGTGGAGGCAGAGGCAGCAGCCTGCCCCACGGTTCCTGCCTGGTAAGCACAGAGTGCAAACACAGCTCACCTTTATCCTCTCTTTGCAGAGAAAATAGGCAGTGGCATGAAGGACATCAGCAGAATGTGTAGAATTGTGGTAGGGGTTAGAAGAATGATAATTGGCTTCAATAATTTGTAACCAAGATCTCAGCGTTGTCTCGGAGCAGTTTAAAAATTCACAGATTCCAAAGCGAGCGAATATTTTGAGACCAAGATAAATCAAAGGCCTGTAGAGAAAAACATCACAACATTAAAACAAAGAAATAGGCAAAATGTTTGGAGCCCTGAATGGGTTCAGCTCCAACAAACAAACCCAAGCCAGACTTCAGAGAGTGTGCAGGGCAGCCAAGAGGGGCTGGCCCAGCAGTGCTGTCCTCTCTGTTGCCCTTCCTCCTGGTAGCCTACACCAACCTCGGCTGGAGCCCAGTTCCAATCCTGGCGTCAGAGCTCTTGTTTGGTGCTCCCCACTGGCTGTGGTGAGGTTTGCTCACTCTGCCCTTCTTGATTCAGACTCTTGCTTGCACTAGTGGGTTCCTCAAAATCAATGTGTCGCCACGCTAAACCTGTGCCGCCTTGAACCCTATCCTCTCCTTTGGACTTGCTGGACCTATGTCATTGGCTAGATGTCCTGCCTAGAAGAAAATAACAGTTTGTGATGACCACATATGAGCTAGACACTGTCACATGTCATGTAATGGTCTCGACAATCTGGAGGTGGGTGTTACAGTATGAGGAGGTTTCCCTTAAGAAGGTGACCAACTGGCCACCAACTCAGGCCCCTCCTTGAGAAGCCACCTTGATCCAGCATCTGGCCTTTGGCTTGGAAGGTCAAGAGACTTGGTTCTGCTGAGGCAGTATCCAGAGATGATCAGGCTCATAACACTTAAACTGACCTTGGCCTGAATCACATGGATGTAAACCAGTATGTAATCCAGGTGCTCAGATTCACTTGCCATGGGAGTCTTCTTTTCCACTCTTCTTACCCGGGTGGGGTACATGGAAGAGAATGTATCAAAAGGTTGACGCACATTGAGCAAAGGGCAGGTGTTATGTTGGGGACAGTCACCCAGACTGGGATGACACCTGATGAGTCATCCCGTGCCCCAGAAGAGCACACTTTTCCTGCAACTGCCTTCTGTCTGCCAGGTTCAGGGCCTCGCAACCCTGAAGGGCAGCCCTGGCTGGCATCAGCTCTGTGGACATCCCTCTCCTGTGTGCCAATCCATCACACTCCTTTGGTGAATGCTTCTTTTCCAGCAAGGTACAAAAGTGAAGGTAAAATCCCAATCCCACCCCACTATCTGTGATCACACCCACATCAGGAGGACTGGAGTTCTGGGTGTCCCCATGCCTGTCACCAACACAGCAACCAAGATCTGGGGACAGCTCTTATCAAATGTGTGTGTTTGTATATTTCTAATTTTTAGTTCTAGGCTTGGAGTGGGGCTCCTTGCTGCTATTTCAACATACCACTACCTACAGGAGAAATTAATATCCATACTTTACGGAAAAAAACCCTCTGCTCTTTGGAGGTTAAGTCACTTGCCCAGTTTCATGCTTTCCATGAGTCTGCTGTCTCCACAGGAGTCATGATCAGGCAGACTCTCCCCTGCTTCTCACTGATCCCCTCGCTGAGGCCTAGGCCCCGCTACTCTTTCCTGAGCCTCCCTCCCTGACCAGGAACCGGCTCTGTGCAGAATCCACACTCCCTGGGTGGCTTTCTCCACACAGGCCCTTGGAATTGAGCTTTCTGTCTGCTGAGCTCCACAAGGACTCACCTTTGATGAGTGGCAGCCTCTAGTTCAAAAATATCAAAGTCCCAGTGTTCCTCATTTTCCATGGCCCGAGCTATCCGTGGTGGGACATCGTGAAGAGAGATGGGAGTGATTATACTGTTTGAAACCTGTTGAAGATCTGTAAAGTGATGTAATTTGGAAAACAAAATTAATAGGCTTTATAGTATTAACTGTTTGTTCCTTAGAGAGGACAGTACCGCTTCAGGGGACAGTTGCTTTGTTTTTGAGGTTTTACGACATACTAAGAAACTTCTTACTGATGAGAAAATTATCTGAAACCTTTTATCTGAAAAATCTATTTTCATCACTTAAGCTTGACTGTAATATTAATAGTGATCCAAAAAATTAAAAAGGAAAAACTTACGTTTTGTTGAAAGAACATATTCATTCCCAGACAGTCTTCGCAAACCATCCTGATAAAAATCAAGGAAACAAGAAAAAAAGAAGTCACAACTATTCTTTACTTCTCAAAAACCCTAGGACAGTTGATCCCAGAGGACAGCTAGGGGCAGCCCTCTCCATCACTGCACCCAAGGCTCCCCCTGTGATCATCACTGTGCTCAAGCACTGAACTCAGCCACCTACCGAGCACACAGCCTGATGCTGGGATGGACTGGCTCAACTCAGGGGCAGGGGCAGCACCAGGGAGGGAGCTCGAGAGAGGCCCCACCTAGCATTCCTGCTGGCATTCAGGACTCTGGTTTGGTTTCTTAGGGACAATTCCCCTCTGTCCTCAACCCTTCCCCACCATTTTCCTGCCACCCTCCTTGCCCTAATGGACACCAGACTTCCTCTGGAAAACTAGAATCTTCCTTGTCCTCTAACTGCTCCGGCCAGCGGACTCAGTGTGAGAGCTGCTCCCAGACCACCGCCCAAGCCCCTCAGTGGCTTTCCTCTCAGCCCTGATACCCACCGTGCCTCTCTTCTCCCCTCACCCCAGGACACTACCCCACCTCATCCTCATCATTTTCACCCCTCACCTACAGGCTGGAGGAGCGTCTGTCTCAAATAGGCAAGACCACAATTAGACATCATCATCACTGGGAATCACTCTACCGTTCAGATTACTGCCTAAAACCTTATTTTTAAGAAATCATGTGACTTCAGAAAGCAAGAATTGGGAGGGGAGGTGAATTTTATTTTGGACCAAGACAAAAGGTGACAGATAACGATGGAATGATCTGTTTTCCACAAAGTTGTTCTTCCCTTGTGAGACCTCTATACTAGACGGGTTGGAGGAGGCATCTGGAATGCCTCAAGAGCCCGTGGTACGAAGCCCCTTTCTAATGAAATGGTCCCAAGCCCTTCTTTCCCGTGAAGTCACCAAACCTGTGTAGGATGCTTTGGAGGGAAACCGTGACCCATCCCCGGTGCCTCTTTAAACATATATAGTCTTTCTGTTTTATAATTTGGTAGGGAATATTTCATATATTTTTCTTTTTTTCTGCCCCAGATTTCAAAGTCTTTTAACAAATTAAGTTTTATTTAAATAAATTACTTGTAGAACCCCTAAGCAAAAATGGAGAACCAGCTCAGAAGACTGTCTAGAATATGCTCCTCCCTTCTCTGCTTCAAGCTGAGGTCCCCCTGGGTGGTAGGCAGCAAGTGGATGACAGCTCTGGCCAGAGAGTAGCTGAGCCCAGGCGATGGAAGGGTTTAGGGACTGAGCCCTAGACAGAGAGCTCTGTGTTGGCCAGCCCACAGAAATATAACCTCTGAGAAAACAAACAGGAACAGCAGGCTCTAGCCAGCAGCCTGATCAAAAATACTTACAGACATCAAGCCTCCAACGAGGTCATTGGCATGAGGATCATCATCCTTAGCACCAAACTGTGGCGAATATAATTCAGTGGTTCTTAGAATTTCCAGCACACGGTCTAAGGCTTCTGTCACAGGCATGGGACTGCTTTCCTGGGCAGCATTGATAATATTGATTACCTACAATATGGAAAGAAAAGACCTGAGTTTCATAACCTTAAAAACAATGGGAAAGCAATCCAGAGAGTCAGGCTGGCAAGAGCGCTCAATGCTAACTTAAGACTAGTTAAAATGCTCGTGTCACATCGTCTCTCTTTAGAGAAAGCAGCTCCATACAAACAGGGGAGCGTTATTACTGCTGTGGGTCTGTTTCACCTCATTGGAAACAGTCAACTGGGAGAACAAGGGACTTCCATGCTCAGTGGAGACCGACCACAAACTGCTTCACCTTGGTGATGGGCGCCTCAATTGTCATGGAATGTATCCGGGCCATGGAGGAGTGTCGTCTCTGGCTGGCAACTGTGGAGAGATCACATGATACAGAGGTCAGGGTATGCACAGCCTGGGACACCTGTCTCAACAGCCGAGGGCTCTGTGACCTCCCCTCCTCCCCGAGGCCTCAGTGTGCGCAGCCGCATAATGAAGGGGTAAAGACGAGAACTGCATGGTCCTTCTCATCCTAACAAGCACGGGATTCTGGCATAACCAACTCTGCTTCCTTCAGTTCTAGGCACTAGGATGCACGTGCCCCCATACACTGAACTTCTGATGTTACAGGCCAGAGAGAAAATAGAGGAAACAATCTAGCAAGTCAAGGCCAAACAGCCTCTTTTTGTGTTTATAACAATAAAGCTTTATAATTATTCAGCCTGCCGATATCCAGGAGTAAAAACGTTCTGGAAGACAATGCCACACAGGCTCTTTGTTTCATATATGGCAGGAATGATAAATGCAACTCACCATTAACTGAAATACATGAATTTCTGGTTAACTTTTTCAAAGCACCCTTTGGTGATTCCACTGTTATGCTCAATCTAGACTGATAACATAAATACCCTAAATGAGGCGGGCAGCAACTCTTAGGCTCTAAGGCTCTAAAGTTTATTAATTTTTTGTTGCTCCTGTCAAGATATGGTTCCTCTGGGGTGGGGGCAAGTCTGGGCAGTGTACAGGCAGGAAAAAAATATTCACACAGTGTTCTGTGTATCTCCCTGAAAGCCCCACTGTCCTGCCAAATGCTGTTTACCAAAGATCTTAAAGGACCACAGACTGTTCCATAGCCTGATATGTCAGCCTCATTTTACCAAACTGAGGCCAAAGAGAAACACTGTGCCAGATCAACCAACTCAGGGGCTCTCAAATGCCTTAAATTTGGGGAACCAACAAAACTCCTTAAATCTAATTTTGGTGACCAGTATATGGTTGCCAACTTTCCATTTTACTCAACAAGGTCATTAAACCAAAATAAAAACCACTATTTTATCACTATATCATAAAAGGACTTGTTTTCATTTAAAAATATAACGAGAGTGACATATGCTTATAAAAACCAAACAATTGTGTACATGTAATAATGTAAGAAAAAGAAAAAGAAAAGGTATAAAGATTGTCATGACTGTGTATGTAGAAAGTCCAAAAGAATCTATAAATACTACTCTTACAATCAATGAGTAAGTTTATCAGGGTTACTCAGTAGAAGGTCAATACACAAAAGTCAATTGTATTTCTATTTCTATATACTAGCAACAAACAATTGGAAAGTGAAATAAAAAACAACATTATGATAGCATCAAAAAACATCAATTAGATTTAGGACTAAATCTAACGAAAGCTGTGCAAGATTTATACACTGAAAATGCTCAACATTGCTGAGAGAAAACAAAGACCTAAATAGAGACATAGGGCATATTTATGGTTTGAAAGACCCAGTATTACTGAGATTTCAATTTCCCCCAAATTGCTCTATAGGTTCAAGACACTCCCAGATAAAATCCCAGGTTTGTGTGCATATGTGCGTGTGTACTAACAAGCTGATTCTTAAGCTAATATGGAAATGCAAAGGACCTAGAATAGCCAAGATAATCTAGAAGAAGAACTTTACACTACCAGATATCAAGACTTACTATAAGGCTGTAGTAATCGATGGTGGTTTTGGTGCAAGCATAGACTAACAGAACGATGAAACAGAATAGAGTTAGACACAGACCATATATGTATAGTCATCTGATTTACAATAATGGTGCTATCACAAAAGACAGTTTTGTCAATATAGTGATGGGCCAAGTGGATTTCCATGTCAGGGGAAAATTCATCCTTGATCCCTACCCTCACCAGATATAAAAATTAATTTGAAATGGATCACAGACCTAAAGTGATACATAAAACAATAAAGCTTCTAGAAGAAAACATGGGAGAATATCTTCATAACCTTGGGATAGAGAAAGATTTCTTAAACACAACACAAAAAAGCACTAGCTATAATAGAAAACACTGATAAAATGAACTATATTAAAATTAAAAACTTCTCTTCATTAAAAGACCATTAAGAAAGTGAAAAGGCAAACTACAGACTAAGAAAATATATTTGTGATACATATAGCCAACAGAGAACCCATGACTAGAATATATAAAGAATTTCTACAAACCAACAGAAAAAGATAAACAACCCAATTATAAAAATGGGCAAAATATTTGAACAGCACTTCACAAAAGAGGATATCCAAATGGTCATAAGCACATGAAAGGGGTGCTGAACCTCATTAGTCATCAGGAAAATTAAAATTAAAACCACATCCACAAGAAGGGCTACAATTTAAAATGCTGGTATAACCAAGTGTAGAAGGATGTGAAGCAACTGGAACTCTCATAGGTTAGTGATGGAGAATAATATGGTACAACCCACATTGAAGAACTGTTGGCAGCTACCCAAGGGCCCAGCAATTCCACTCCTAGGTAGGAGATGAACACACATGTCCACAAAAAAAGACTTGTATAAAAACATTCACAGCAGCCTTATTCTTAATCTTTCCAAAGTGGAAAGATGAACATAAAGGTCCATTAATAAGAGAATGGATAGGGGCCGGCCCTGGGGCTTAGCGGTTAAGTGCACACGCTCCACTACCGGTGGCCCGGGTTTGGAGCCCGGGCGCGCACTGACGCACCGCTTGTCAGGCCATGCTGAGGCCGCGTCCCACATACAGCAACTAGAAGGATGTGCAGCTATGACATACAACTATCTACTGGGGCCTTAGGGAGAAAAAGGGAAAAAGAGGAGGATTGGCAATAGATGTCAGCTCAGGGCCGGTCTTCCTCGCAAAAAAAAATAAAATAAATAAGAGAATGGATAAACAAATTGTGGCATATTCACACAATGGAGTACACAATGGAGCAATAAAAAAGAATGAACTACTGAAACACTTAGCAACATGGATGAATCTCAAAAACACTCTAATGAGTGAAAGAAGCTGGACACAAAGAGTGCATACTACACAACTCCATTTCTATGAAGCACAGGAAGAGGCCAAATTAACGTACACTGGTAGAAATCAATGCTTGCCTCCATGTGGTAAAAAGGTGTGTGTGTGTGTGTGTGTGTGTGTGTGTATTTTCTGTATCTATATGGGGTGGTGGTTATGAGTGTATATAATTGTCAAAACTCATCGAACTGAACACTTAATACCTGAATTTTATTGTGTGTAAATTATAACAAAAAAAGTTATTAAAAACCAAAAACGTTAAAAGAAAAATGTTTACTTCTTAAAAATACAGAAATGACAAAGTCATCCAAAGCATGAACAGAAGTTAAAGTGCAGTGAGTGAAGGCAGTCGTGGGCATAAATGCAGCAGAGGACTGCAGAGGATCATGGGGCCACAATGAAGATGACGACGGCAGCTACTACTACCCTTGCCAGGCACCCCACACTCATTTAATCCTCACATAATCCTCTGTGGACAGCGTAGTGATCCTCCTTTTACAATAAGGAAATGGAGGCACAGAAACCTACCCCCGAGGCTGCAGAGAGTACATGAAGCCGGGGTTTGAATCAAGGTCATTCTGAGGCCAAAGCCCACACTCTTCTACATTAACGCTACACTGCTTCCCTGCTGGGGCCACCCCACCTGCCCTCACAGCAAGGGTAGGATCTGTATAGTCTTTCCAGGACAAGGGACAAATGACATGTCATCTGATCCTCACAACAAACCTGTGAGGAATGTGAGGGCAGGCATTGGATTTCTAGTGTATAATCTGAGTTGCTACTGCTTTGGAAAGTTTTGGCTTTTTATCCAGTAACAAGCAACTCCACATGCTTCCCAATTCATCTTTGGGCCAAACAAAGTACACAGCTAGCAGTAATGTTTGCCTCTATACTCTTTATAAATAATTTTCATTACTTTTTTTTTTTTTGAGGAAGATTGTCCCTGAGCTAACATCTGTTGCCAATCTTCCTCCTTTTTTCCTTTGTTCTCTCCAAAGCCCCAGTAGACAGTTGTATGTCATAGTTGTACATCCTTCTAGTTGCTCTATGTGCGATGCCGCCTCAGCACGGCTTGATGAGTGGTGCGTAGGTCCGCGCCCAGGATCCGAATTGGCGAACCCTGGGCCGCTGAAGTGGAGCATGCGAACTTAACCGCTACGCCACCAGGCCTGCCCCTCATTACGTTTTTAAAACTATTAGATCATTCAGGCCACATATCTACATAATCTTAAAAAAATATTCCAATTAGAGCTTAAATAATATTTGTTTAATGAGAGTCTTTCACATTCCAAAATGCAGCTTACCTCTCTATCAAAAGGTAGGCCCCATGGCAAACTGCAACCCACAAAGGAATATATCATTAACAATTTCCAAATGCATTCCTCATATAATTACAGCAGGTAAAGTGACATCTGCGGTTATAGTTTAGAAAATCAACTTCAGAATAGATAGTAAAATGTATCTTTTCTTTTTCTTTATTCCCTGACTCCATCAAAAGGCTCAGAATGGAGCCCACTGGCAGGAGTCGGGAGAGAAGAAGAAAGGGACACGGGTTGCTAGGGTCCCCTCTCCCTCCTGAATTGGAGGCGGGCAGTGATTCGGAGATAAGATGGGGAGCGAGTGGCAGGGCTACATGTGTTCAACACTGAGAAGATAGCATTTTCTCCTCTTGTCTTTGTCACCTACCTTCACTTGCTCGAGAGGCAACAGCTCTGACATCTAGGGAGCTTTTTCTCCTGTCTTTATATTTCCCTGACTGATTATCTGTGGAGACAATTTAATTATAAATCACCTCTTCAAAGGAATTTTAACAACATATTAGGAAAATTACCAATCTAAAATTTTTAAAAAACAAAATTTAAGAATTAGAACACCATTTAAGATGCCATAAAAATCAACACAGTGCACACAGATGAAGACTACAAACAATTAGGTTTTAAGGGGGCTGACTTTCTCAAAATATCCCATCTGGACCAATCATAAACAAGTGCTTTACAGTTTCCAGATGACATAATTACAGAGTCTCATGATATAAAGTAAAAACTAGCAGAAATGAACTCAGAAGAATTCTTTCTATTACACCTCTATATAATTGAATAAAATGGTGGGAAAATTTTGATCCCCATCCACACTTGTCCCAAAGGAAAAAAAAAAACCTTTTATGTATTTTTCCATATACAAGCTCTAAAATGTCCCAGGGAAGAACATGCTTCTCTTTTCGAGGGTAGTACAGGGAATACTGGTTTGGGGTATATTTCAAATGATAGTTCATCTTGCCCCCCTCCAAGCCCACTTTCTGTGTATGGCACCTACTGCTCTACTAGGTTCCAAATGGGTGTGTTTGACTCCTCTCCCCCTGACCCCACGCCAGTCAATGACAAGGCAAAGTTGACCTTCCTTCCTGTCCCCTCCCTGTGCACCTGCTGAGTACCATGTGTGGTGCTAAGCCTCTCCAACGTGTCCCCATTTCACAGACGAGGAAACTGGGACCTGCCACACTAACGAGTGAACACAGAGCTGGCTCTCCAGCTCAGGTCTTCCCACGTTCAGGTCGCTATCTTCTCTGCCTTATCTTGGCTTCCTCACCTGGAGTCCCTGCTCACAAACAGGATCTAAATGCAGGCCCTTAATATTCCTCCCTACCATCGAGAAGCTTCTTCACTTGCTATTTGCTACGTTCTCTTCTACACAGGCACTCACAGTGAACTTGTCAAGGTCACTGACGACCTCCTTGTTGCTACACCTGAAGGACACAGTTCAATTTTTACCTGACTTAATTGTGGTACTAGACACAACGGATCATTCTTTCTGGAAACTCCTGGTTTGCCAAGTCCGTGCTCTCCTGGTTTTCCTTCCATCTCTTACTATTCCTTCCTAGTTTCCTTCATGATTCCCTCTTCCTCAGCCCCTCTGGCATTCCCAAAGGGTCTGTCCTTAGCCCTTCCTCTCCTCTCAGACAACACAATTCTCCTCAGCTCTCATTTCTTCCTACAGCTTTAACTAATTCCTGTGTTGTTGTCTTATCCCAGGCCTCTCTCCTGAGCTCCAGACTTATATCTAACTGGCCACTGGTCACCTCCATTTGGATACCCCCCAAGCACTTCAAATGAATTCATTATCCAAATGAACATTATCTTCTCCCAAATCCACTCTTTATTCTAATCACTGAACAGCATCTACTTTTTTGCTTAAGTTGGAGATAAGTCATCCATGACTCCTCTCCTTCCCTCATTCTCTCTCTCAACTAGTCAGCTGAATCTATAGATTCCATCTCCTAAATACCTCTTTTACCTATCCCTGCTCTGTTCCTATCCTAGCTCAGACACTCGTCAACCTCCTCTGGGCTATAACAAGCCTCCCTCATTGGTCCCACAGCCTCCAACTTTGCCCCCTTCAATCCATTCTTTACGGGCAACCAAGTGATCCTTCTCAAACAAAAATCTGACCAGATCACTCTCCCAATTAAAACATTTCAATGGCTCATCACTGTTTCTAGGATAAGATTTAAACTCCTTGGTGTGGCATCCAGAGTCCTGTGGTATCTGGACCTCCTCTCTCCAGCCATCATGAATTATTTACCATGTGCTAGTTCACCTCCCAAACCTCTATGCCTTGGCAAAAAACTGTTTACATCCACTTGAGAACATACCTCTCCCATGCCACCTTCTTCATTCATTCAGGTTAACTCAATCCTCTTTGAAGATGCAGTTCAGGTATCTTAACCTTTGGGAAATCTTCCCCTAATGCCTCCCCACCCCACCCCAACACTGCCAGTAACCACCTGCTTTAGCGTCTGTCTTTCCCACCAGCTGTGAATGACATGATGGCAGAAATAGTTTTCCTTTCTCTTTCCTAGGTGACCAGCACTTCCCAGCATGTAACAGATGCTCAATAGACATGTCTGCTTCTCCAAACCCCTGCATACTCCCGTGCACAAATGGAAGTACCACTAAATATAACCACTCTGATTCTGTGCCTCCCTTGCTTAAAGCCCTCCATGGAGCACCTCAGCGATAAAGAGTTAACTTGCCGGCAGTCAAGGACAGGAACGGTCTGCTGACAACAGCCTGCCTTTCATCTCTCACTTGTCTTGACCACACTGGGGGCTGTGTCAGCACAATGGTTCCCCACTCTGTCTCACGAACATCCTTGACATCTGCTCCTTCTGCTTCCGACATATGACACTGTACTCTCTCCAAATGCTCACTCCTTCAAATCGCACCTCCTCTCAACCACACACAGACCCAAGTGTGTCTCCTTCCTGAGCCTCCTGGAGATTAATGTCCACGCAGCTGCCTGATAAGAGTGGGCTGTGAACTTACTAGCTGTTCCTTCATTCTTCTCCCTTTTATCCACTCAACAAACATTTACTGGCACCTACCATGTGTCAGGCTCTAAGCCAGGCATTAGGGATGTGAAGATGAATAAGGTATGGTCCATGTCCTCAAAGTGGGTGGTCTAGAGGGGAACAAAGGTAGTTGAACTAAGAGGTACAGTAATAATCCCGAAATGCAGAAGGAGCCCCAGGGAGGAAGTGGCAGATTCTCCTCTGGGAAAGGGGGCAGAGAGGAGATGAGCTATGATTTGTAGATGTAGCCAGGAAGAGGAGGAAGACATTTCCAGAAGGAGGAAATTGCTTGTGCAGATGGAGCAGAGTGTGGCTGGAGAGAAGCGAGCAGCAGTGCATGTACCGAAGATGGGGCTGTGGCAAGAAAGGAAGGAGATAAAGCAGGCTTTAATGTCTGCTTAACATTGTAAAGGTATTTTAACTCTATGTAACTCTAGATCTTCTGCTCCCAACAGCCCTTAAGATCACTGCATCCCCTGGGTCCCTACAGCACTTTGTGGATGATTCTTAAACTTTTCACGCTACTGGCAAAGCCTTTCCTGACCACCTCCTCATCCCCTGAACTACCCCTCCCCCTACCCAAGAAACACAGAATGCAGGTTTCTTGCAAGCAGAGACATTCACGTTGCCTGGCATGTGGTGGCTGTGCACTGACTTTTGGTGGAATGAGTCAATTCCACATCCAGTTTCCCTACCCACCATCCCTTAAATGTCTGTTATTGCAGGGTTCCATCCTTGGCGCTCAGTCATCCTGCCTCACTTCCTCTATCAGGAGAGCTGGCCCAAGGCCCAAGGCTTTGGCTATCTCCATATGGCACCAAGCATCTCCACTGGAACGTTCCAGGCACCTCAGATGTACTAAATTCAAATCTAAACTTACCATCCTCTCCCTGTACAAACCTGCTTTCTCCTGCACTTATCATTTTCATTAACATCATCCAGTGGCCAAGCTAGAAATTTTGGTGACATTCTCAAGTCTTTTCTCTTTATTCCTCATTTTAAGCTGGCTCCCAAGTCCTACTGATTATACTTAAGTATCTCCTGATTCCAGTCTCTCATCTGGTCTCTTTGTCTTTAGTCTCCTTTCTCCACACCGTCACTGTGACTATCTTTCTAAGTGGCCCCTTTTCACTTACCTGTTTAAAGACTCTCCTGGCCCTCCTCTGCTTGCAGGATGAAATCCAAACTAGCCTGACCCAGCCTCGCCTGTCTCAATGCCTCTGTGCATGCTGCTCCTCCCTCCAAGAATGCTCTTCCTGTCCTCTGGCTGACCCCTACTCCTCTGCCAGACACCAACTCAACCATCATCATTGCTAGGAAGTGTCCCCGAGCTTCCCCCAGTGTGGTACCAGAAAGTACAGTGTATTCAACTTACTTCTACCTTCCATCAGACAGTGAACTCCATGTTTACTTCTGTGTGCCTAAAGCCAGGCTCAGGGCCTGATCCAGACCAACTCAAGGTTTGTAAGACTGGACAACTGTCACATTTAGTATCTTCAGTGAGACACAGTATCATGTGAAAACAACACAGGGGCCAGGAAAAGGGGGACATGGCTGGGAATTTATTGTTTTTCTGGGCACCCAGAATCTGAACCCCCCTTTCCTGTGACTCCCACGATAGAAGGGAGGAGGCCAGAGACTCCTCTACACCATTCCCTGTCAGCGACAAAGTAGCAGGTGACGTAGGCCCAAGCCAAATGAGTGCTTCCACCCAAGAGTCTGAATTAGAGCGAGTGAGGCAAGGAAGCAAGGGTGTGAAGAAGCCATTCTGTCCAGGGCGGTGGCAGCAACATCCTGTGCCAGGATCTCAGCAGAGCCAGTGGTGCCCGCGGTGGTGCCTCCCACACTCTTCCTAGGGCATGCTGAGGGCAGTGGGGACGGTGGCCCAGCTTCCCTTGGTTCCTGTTGTTTTTTCAGACTGGTTCTTCAGCTTTCTTGTCCAATCTGTGAGCCACCCTATTTCCTTCCAATGAACTCCTTTTCTGCTTAAGAACTGATTTTTGTTGTGTGTAACCAAGGAAAGGGTGGTCCATGGACTATGATAGGTCCACTGCCCTCCCAAGGCAAGACAGTCAGCTGAGTCTTCTGGACATAAAGCTGGTTATGCTGCTGAGGGGGAAGGAGACTAAACAGCCAGCTGGTCATCTGGTAAGATGGCTAAGACGCCTAAGTGGGTGCTGATCAAGTAAAAGGAGAGAATGGCCAGCACAAATGCAGCTTGGGAGATCCTCCCTGCCTAACATTTTCTCTGACTATATCACTGATACTGCCTTCCAGTCCCAGCTCTGTCATTTCCTGGCTGGCTGACTCTAGGCTGTCATTTAACCCTTCTGAGCCTCAGTTTCTTTTTCTGTAATAAAGGAATGTCAGGAACAGCCGTGCCTACTTCACAGGGCTATTCTGAAAATTAAAAAAAAATCCAAGCCAGAGTCCTCCGTGACTCTGCAGTGCAGGGTCCTTGTCGCGGCAGGCCTATGTCTGCTGCTGCCACTCCTGACTCTTCCAGCCTCTACAGTGCAGCTTCTGCCCTGACCATCCTCCTGAGCCCGCCCTTCTACAGGTCACAAATGAGCTCCTGGATGCAAAAGCCAAGGTCTCTCTCCATCTCCGGCTCTGCACTCCCCTCCCTCTTTTCTCTGTGCGATTCAGCCCTGACCACTCTCGATGTCTCCCCCTCTCCCCTCCTTTGACTTCAGTGACACCCTCCAGGTTCCCGCCCCCTCTTGGACCCCAGTGCAGGTGGTCTCCAGGAACCTGTCTTCCCCCCCTTTTCCTGCCATCTGTTCCTAGGTAACCTCAAAGTCTCCATTCCCCTTTACAATCCCTGAGCTCAATCTCACCAGTTCTTTTTTTTTTTATAATTTTATTTATTTATTTTCCCCCCAGAGCCCCAGTAGATAGCTGTATGTCATGGTTGCACATCCTTCTAGTTGCTGTATGTGGGATGCGGCCTCAGCATGGCCAGACAAGCGGTGCGTCGGTGCGCGCCCGGGATCCGAACCCAGGCCGCCAGCAGCGGAGCGCGCGCGCACTTAACTGCTAAGCCACGGGGCCGGCCCTCACCAGTTCTACATCTGAGTTACTTGCTAATGCTTTGCTGCCAACAAAATTTACATCTCTAGTCCTAATTTCTCTGCAGAATACAGGAGCAAGAGCTCTGCTGCCCAGCAGGTACTCGATAGAAATTTGTAGAATGAACAGATGAATGAATACACAAACCCAGAACCTCCCAAGTAATGCTTTCTACATTCATCTTCCTAGCCCTATTGCCACACCCTAAATTTCCAGGCTTAAAACTACCTTTCTGACTACTCTTTCTCGCTCTCCTTTCTCTGGTCCCACACCATCATCATATCTGGCCTCTCCTCTCATCCTACTGTCATCACTTTATTATGCATTGGTCATTGTTTTCTCTCCTCTAGACTATGGCAATGCTGCTGTTCTTGTCTCTGGGCCCTCCTTCCACGTACTCTGTTACACATGTACTCTAAGAGCTTCTCAGCGCTCAGATGTCATCACGCGACTCCCCTGCTCAAAAATCCTCAGACTCCCACTGCCTACAGATGAAAATCATAATTTCCTACCCAGCATCTAAGGATCCTTCACGATGCCAACTCTTCTTTCCACACTGACCCTTTGTAACAGTCAAAATTTAATCCATGCTCTTCCTAGAACACACTCTGTACTTTCCCTCTTCTGTGCTTGTTTTTATTTCTGGAATGCTTTTCCTTCCACATCCCTCTTCTTATTCAAATCCACCTCTCCCTCTCTGGAACTTTCCCCTCTTCCTCTGAGCCACCATGGCACTACTGGTCCTTCCTCATCCACTACTGATCACTTCTTATCACTTGCTGTGTGTTTTTGGATCAATATGTCTCTCTTCTTTTCAGGTTAAAGCCTTGATTGCTCTTGGGGCACCCACAAGAACTGTCCCAGCACATCTTCAGAGCTCTTGGAGCTGGGCCATTTGGATTCAAGTGCCAGCTCAACCACTTCCTAGATGAATATCTTTGGGCAGATTATTTAGCCTTTCCGTTTCCTTATCTGTAAAAAGGGAACTACATCTATAAAATGCCTACCCCACTGGGTTATTGCAAGGCTTCATTTAAATACACTGTAAGTTAAGCACTCCGCACAGTGCCTTGTATACAGTAAATGCTCAGAGAAACACGTGGGGAACATTCCTAGAATGGATGAATGAACTGCTCTGGTACTGCAAAGAGCACATAGCCAACAGCAGAAGGGATGAAAGACAAAGTCTTCTCCCTGGAGGTCCTTACAGACCAGCCGGGCAATCAGAGCACTGCCTAGGCATGGCAGGGTGCTGTAACATCCTTGTTACAGCAGACGATGGAGAGCCTGTGGCGTGGAGCTGGAGTGGACCTGCATCATCACAGCCTGCCCCTCATCCGTGAGGGCCAGAGTAGGAAGGTAAGGCCATGACATACGCTTGAAGGAAACAGGCCATTCCAGGTCAGGGGAAAACCATAGTAACACAGATGCGGGGATGAAGAGATGGTGTCCAAGGCACGGTAAGGAGACAGATACAAGGTGAGCCAAGTCTGATGGGGTGCAGCTACCTCCCTGTAGGCTGACAGTGTCTACTGACAGGAGATGTGGATGTCCCTGCTAAAGTACTGTAGTCTGACACCCCACACTGTTGCCTTTTCAATTATAGATCAGGCCAACAAAACCACACTTCACTCAACATGTCGTCACATAAGTTCATGTATTTGAGGTGACCAGTTCTCTCCCCACAGGCTGCGACCCACCCCAGGACACCTGTCAGAATGCCCACAAGTGCTCCGGTCCTTCGACTCAGAAGCCTGCCTGGGGAGTTAGGGCAAGAAACGTTGCCATGGTGCTAGGAAAATACAGTCCCACCTGTGCACCAGACAAGCTAGTCAGAGTAAAGGTCTGTTTTTATTTTATTTTTTTCAAAAGCTCAATGAACCCTAAGAATGAATATGGGGCACCATACCTGTACGACTGTCAGACTGAACACATTCAGTTATTTTCTCAGCCTAAAAATGAATTTTAAAAGCCATTAGTTCTGATTACCTAGTTATGCAGTTAACAGAAATCTTGCTGGGGAGCACCTGGGTCCCAAGGGCTCTCCTTACATACCTTATTGTTGCCATTGCACACTCTGATAATGGACACATAGTGTCTAATTTTTCTGCAAGTAGAAAACAATGCATTATTTCTCTCCTGGCTCTCTATTCTGACGGATATGTAGCTAATTTTTCATTACGAAAAGAGCATCTCTTTCACAATACACAAAATGCTTTGAGGAGAGCATTTCTATTGTTTGTGGCTAAGGCCACCAATAAAAGAACAACCAAGAGTCTACAAATATCCTCCGGTGTCTCTGTAGAAAATAAGTTGGCTCTTCAGTAAAAACAAAATTTTTCTAAGTCATCACAACATACAACAAAAAATACCTATGTTTTAAAAAAGGCACTACATGTGAACTAACCAAAAGCCTTTAAATCCCTTAACATATTTTCATTTTCACAATGCTTTGTAGTGATGCTCTTCTTCAAGTTCCAGGGAACAATCTGCTCACAGTCATTCATGGAAAAAGCCCCAGGCCACCCGGGGGGCCAAGGTTCGCATTAACTCGGTTAGCTGAGAGTCTAAAACAAAGCAACCAGGGCTGATCTCAGAAGCTGCTGACTCTCCTCACTTCTTTATTGTTTCATTTTTTTCAGTTTTTCCCCTTGATAATCAAATCCCTATGTACTTATCACAAAAAATTTGGAAAGGACATGAAAAGGCAAAGAATAAGAACAGAGAGCCCACACAGATCCTTCTCCCTGAGGCCATCGCCAACTGGCAGCAAAGCCTGGTGACCAAGCACGTGAGCCGTGCAGTCAGCACAGAGGTCTGGAGCCCGGCTCCGCTGAGCACCGGCAGCTGAACCCCGGGCCAAAACCTCACCACCTCTCTAAGCCTCAGTTTCCTCATCTGTAACACGAAGGTGACCACAGTGCTGACAACACAGGGCTGTGGTCAGGATGAAGTGACGTGACGTCTGCCAGGCACTGAGAGCCAGCCCAGGGAGGGAAGGCTCAACAAACGGTAGCAGTTCTTATAACCACCACGGCCACACCTCCTCCTTTTCTTTTCTTTCTTTCATTTTCATCATTGAGAGCATATACTAGGTATGATTTTACATTTTGATTTTTGCACTTATCATATGTATTTCTCGTTGTAATTTAATTTTCTATGATCATCACTTCTAATGGTTGCATATTTTATTGTCGTTCATATTATCTAAGATAGATTCTGAGACAAACCATATGACATTTCTAGGCTCCTGATATACACTGCTTTCCAATCTATAGTCACATGTGTTTTATATGAGTTTCCATTAATGGTAGGATTTAAAATATTTTTATCTAATTTGATAGGTCTATGCAGAATTAACAGACAGGCTATCAAATCAGATAGAAATCTTTTAAATATAGTGAGTCCACCAGTTAGTGTTCTTATCACTGATTTAAATACTTTAGTCTCTTGTGTGTCTATGCAGCTTAATCAAGATTATCCTGAGTCTGGTGGCCCTGGGTAGCCAGCCGGAGGGTCAGGCTGTAGCCATGAGGAAACCACCCCAGAAGGCCATTCTTTGATGACACCTGACCTTGTTACAGGTCTTTCTTTTAAATTTCTGCATGCAGTTCTTAGCTTACTTAAGTATTCAAAGCAAATTTTGCAATAAGTCAAACAGTATGGTGATTGAAGTACTTGTTTTTTCCACTTACCCTCCCTGTCCAATGACAGGTATTATCTTCACATTTTGTTGTACGTTATCTCCGTTTTTCTTTTTGGCATAGTAAATTCCTTGCCACTCCTATAAATGGAATTTAAGTATCATTATACTTTGTGTTTAATACATAAACCCAAGGACACCTTCCTCTTCAGGTTCTGATTCATTTACCATTACTAAAGCAATCAGGATAAAAAAAATTACCCCAACCCAAAACACAATTTTAGGTAATCTGACAATTCTTTCTCAACCTCCTAAGTCTATCTCCTCCTGGGTTGCTGACAAAAGCCAGGTCACCACAGTCTAAGTGGTCATACGTTTTCAGTGGCTGTCTACTGGGCAAAAGAGGCGCTGGGCCCATGAATGAAGAGCAGTCCCTCACTTCCACACACGAGTTCCTCCTCTCATAACTCCTACCTGCAGCAGTGAGGGGCAGGAGGCCGTGGCCTCTGCCCCTGCATGTGGAAGCGGGTGAATCTCAGGACTGGGGCAGAGAAACAGCCATTCTGTGGCCACTAGCATGGTTGGCTGCTACCACCCTCTGGGATATGTGAGGGTTTCGGTCCCTCTGCAGGTAGGGTAGGGATGATGAGGTAACAGCCACGACTGGGCTCAGGTAAAACAAATGGTTGAGACTAAAAGCCAGGGCTGCAATTACATTAGTCATGTTCTCACAATCAGATAGAATACAGGGAATCTTTAAGAATGGCGCTGCGGTCTGGGAGAGCAAGTGTGCGTGGGACATGTTCCCCTACTCTTGGGGTGGTAGGGAGAAGCCTGAGATGGAGCTGGGTTTTGTCACCACCTATAAGGTTCTAAATTCCTGCAAGAGTCACCAAGGTCCTTAAGCTATAAAAACCCCTAAAACCCATTACAGGACACTGAAACCCTAGGGTGTTCCATAACCTTCTTGACCTTCCAGAGTCCCTCAGAACCTAGAGCTGACCCAGGCAGGAAGGGGATCACCATGGCAGCCTTGGTGGCTTAGCTCAAGTCTCCTGTCCAGACCCTTATACAAGGTCAACTCTGAAATCTTCTTTGCTTGGGGTATGGTGATGTGCCTGCAAATGCCAATGGTAAAATCTCATCTTCAGACTCCTCTGGGAAAGCGGATCCAAGAGAAACCAGGACCCTCTGACAGAAGCAAAGGATGGTTACTGATGCTTCCTGATGTACCTCTGAAAACAACAGGCACTAAGAAAGGACTGAATTAAAAAACAGCCAGAGAGCTGAGCTCAGTGCTTACTTGCTCCAGAGCAGAAGGGAGGTGCAGACCTTACTAGAGTTCTGAGGGGAGACTGGCCTATGCCTGAAACACGCAAGGACTAAACGAACAGGGAACCCTAGGCAGGAATGGGCAGTCTGTCCTCTATATCCACAGCCCATGTGTCCACCTCAGAAGGCTTCAGCAGACAGGTCTAAAAGTTACTTCTGAAGCTCACTAGCAAGAGAAATATGGGAAATTGTGGTGCTATTTGCAGAGCTCTGTGAATATACCAAACATCACTGAATGGTATACTTTAAATGGGTGAAATATATGGTATATGAATTATCTTTCAATAGAGCTGTTATAGGAAAAAAAAAAAGAGTGAGAAATACAGGAGACCAATTCAATCAATCAATTAGCACTGTAAAAAATATATTCAAGATTTCCTCCTCCAATCCTTTCTGAATAGATGTGGGCAGCTGCCAGATTCCAAGCTAAGGTGTAAGAAGCCACTTCAGCCAAAGCTGAACAGTCCAGCTAAAGGAGCAGGACAATTTAGCCAATGACTTTACCTGGATAACAGAGTTGCCCGTAAGTTTTTCAGTCACCAATGGAAACAAAAAACATTCACTTATCATAGATCATATTTCTTATCAAAAAATATTTACCTATCATAAATATGTTTTAGTTCCTGAGAATAACCAAGTGCTACCTTAGAATGCTGTTATGAAGATTAAATCTGGTAATGCACAGAAACTCTTAAAAAACATTTTAGAGTTTTGGCAAACATTCAGTAAATGGCCTGTTTCTGGCACAGGTGGTTTTGCACAGGCCTCTCTTTCTCCGGGCCAAGCTCCCCTCAGAATTGTACTAAAGCCTGCACCTCCCTCCTGCTCCAGGGCAAGCTGAGCACCGAGCTGGGCTTCTCTGACTACTGAGACAGTCCTTTCTTGGTGCTCATTGTCTTAAGAATTAAATTATCATCATCTGGCTGTCCCATTCCCAGGGCTAACACAACGCTTGCATGTGGTGAACAGTCAAGGAGCACTTGGAGGTTCTGTTTACTGAACGGAAAAGGTAGGGCAAGGTCAGACTATAGAATCCTGGTGGCCAGGTAAAGTGATCTGAACTCTATACTGCAGGAGTAACAGGATCAAAATGATGATTTGGTAAGGCTAATCACTCAGTGGTGTAAGGTGGACTGACTAGAGGTGGAGGGTCACGGGACAGGGAAACCTACCTGGATTCAGACACCACAGTCCCAAGGTGTGGGAAGGAGGCTCTGACCAAGGTCAGGCCCAAGCACTGGACACTCAAAGGCAGAGGTTTAAAAGACATCAAGGCTTGGTGATGGATTTGATGGAGAAGACTACAGAGTAGGGAGGAACCAAAACCATTCCAGGAATCAGAAGTCCAGGCAACTGTGAGGATGGGCAATGAGCAGAGACAGCAAAGGCTGGAGAGGTTTTTTGTTAATGGGAGATGAGAGAAAATCTATGTTAAACAAGTTGATTTCAAGATGATGGCAGGATGTTGAACTGGACCTTGGGAAAGGATGGGGCTAAAACTGGGGAGGTGTGAGACACCTATGCAGAGCAGGCAAGATGCCACAACAGCCAAGGAGCTTTCTGGGGAATACAGCAGGGGACAAAGAGCCCTGGTAAACCTAGGAGAAAAGAGATGGAAGAAGAGGTGAGGTGTGAAGCAGAAGAATCACAAGAGCTCAGGAAAGGAAAAGTTTTGAAAAGCTAAAGGGCTGTCAGCCACACGTCATCACCACAGATAGGCATCCGAGCAGCCAGCATTTATTCAGAGCCTACAAGACACAATTTCTGAGGGGAAAAAATTCAAAATTTCTAAAAGAGAAGAGCCAATGTAAGGCTTAGGTATCTCAGCAGATAGGAGACTATGGGTTCTAGAGCCCTGACAGAGAAGTCTTGGGGAAGAAAAGGGAGGAGAGTCAAGAAGCTTATATAGAGAGATGCAAGGAAGCAGGAGTGTGGGGGCCGAAAATCAAGGTATCTAATAGTACCAATTTTACCCAAAAGAGGAGCCATTGTCTGAGAACAATGGGCAGAGGGGGTTTGTGGAGAATGGTGTTTACAATATTCTCTGTTAGAACATCATCAGAATTTCTCCTCTGCCCCCAAGAGTATCCAACTGATCAGCACACCCAGAATTGGACACTCCAAAGCCCCCACTCCCGTCATCTAACCACTTCCTAGGTCTCTATTCAAGTTCCCAGCGCATGTCTGAACCCTCTCCACTGACCACGGTGCCACCGTTGCCCAGGGCCAGCTGACTCCTCAACAAGCCCTTCTTCTTCCTAGGGAGACTCACTCAGAAAGGCTATATAGTCTTTCACCTTAAAAAACTGCCCAGCTAAGTGGCCTGTCCTCCTGCAGTGTTGTCAGCGAACCAGCAGGTTACTGACAAATGAAAATGGCTGCTTTTCTACTCTCCCCAAGAACTCTGAAAGATACAAAACAAATAACCAGGTTCTTTTTTTTTTTTTTTTTAATTTATTTTTCCCCCAAAGCCCCAGTAGATAGTTGTGTGTTATAGCTGCACGTCCTTCTAGTTGCTGTATGTGGGACGCGGCCTCAGCATGGCCAGAGAAGCAGTGCGTCGGTGCGCACCCGGGATCCAAACCCAGGCCGCCAGTAGCAGAGCACGCTCACTTAACCGCTAAGCCACGGGGCCGGCCCGCCAGGTTCTTTTTTGAAATAAAGCAGTATAGAGGTCGATAATAAGATAATCATTCATAGTCTCTGCTCACAATAAATACAGATTTTGGAAAACAGGTCTCATGCTGTTTGAGTTTGAGGCCCTTCGTACCTGGTGCCCAACAGCATAACTCAGGAGGCAAGACACTGTCCCCACAGATCTGGTGGCTCCCAGGGCCTACAGCTGGTCCACTGAGCACCTCCCTCCCCATCTCTACCCGCTCTCCTCAGTGAGAAGGAGATGGAACGCCTCAGCACAAGTGCTGCCAGATCAAGGTGCACGAGGGCCGTCATCTCTGACTTACGCCAAGTTGAACCTCACAACAAAGCTACTGGCTGACCCGGTGGCAGCCTAGGACCTAAATGCCAGGATTGGAAGTCCATGGTAAAGCCCCCTCAAAGGCTGCTGGGCTCTGGGATGACTGCTGCTCTGCAGCCGCCTTCTGAGGATGCCTCTCTCAACTGAGGGAGGGAACACTGGATCTAACAGGATCAGTGCGCCCGAGTACCTGAGGCTCTCTTCATTAACCTCAGCCTTCATTTCTCTCTTTCCAGAGGACCTTCCACTCTCTCTAGTAAAAAAAAATCATCATCCTTGACAGAAAAGTTGAAGGCAAAATAGGATTCAAATAGAGCCCACTTTTGTTATTCCCCTGATGGTGCATCACTGGGACCTTGCAGCTGGCCTGTTCTTTCCTTGTTCTCACTGCAAGGCAAGCTTGTGTGCTCAGAGTCATGGGGAAGCAAAGGGACACAAGCCTACTCACAGTGGTTTCAAAGGGCCCAAGTGAAGTGTGGGTATAAGCTTTGTGTAGCCCTTCTGTCCCCTATGGCAGATTTCTTTTTGTGCTACAGAATAGGCACTAGCCAAATGCCACAGGGGAGGGGGCAACACTTCCACTGGGGCCTTTACAGAGTGAACAGGAGAGCAGGTAACCAATTTTTCAAATGTTTTCAATAATCAGATTAATAGCCTCTATCCAACTTCCAAAAGTTTAAAGAGCCCAGCAGTATAGACTAAGAATGATTGTAAAAAGCAGTAGCCTTTTCCCTCTCATCATATTTTAAAAACTAATAATAGTGAGGTGCTGTCAGAAGCCACTGTTCAGAGAGAGAAATAACCTTTGAGACTGAGCCTGCCTTTCTTCTGTCTGCCCTTTCAGCACAGGGTTATGTGGCTTCTCACATTACTGTGTAATGATTCCTTTTATCTGTCTGTTTTGCACCGTGGAGCATGAGTTCTCTGAGGCAGGAATTTTTGTTTTGCTCTTCTTTCTATACCAGAATCTAGTTAGTGCCTGGCACACAGCAGTCATTCAAAAAATGCTGAACAAATGGATGAGGCTCAGTGAACTGTTGGGCTCAAATGTGTTCCGAGAATGTGTCGCCTCACTGGCAATCCTTTACCCAGAACCATTTGCCAGCATCTACCACGGAGAAGATCAATTATTAGAAAGATCAACTTACTTATTACAAAGATGAAAACAATGATTTTAAGGGTCAATTAAAGTTACTCTGCTTATTGGCTAATCATATTATACACTTTCTTGGCCTCAGTTTCCTCACCTACAAAATGGGAATAATATAGCTAACACTGCCTACACTTCCCCAGACTTCTGGGAAGAGTAAGACTCAGATTACCTGGCACATGCGATGCTCAATGAATGCTAAGTCTCCTTCCTTCCCTCTTTGTTATGTGAAAGTAAAAAAGGTACTAACCTCTTACTTACCTTGCCTATCTTGATGCATGAATTTATAGTATCGAGCAAATCAGCCTTTTTTTCATTTATAGGCACTTCTGCTAATTCCTTCCCTATTAATTCACCTGACTGATAGCCCATTGTTGTTTCAAATGCAGGATTTGCATACTGGGGGGAGACAAAATAAAAAACATCAAGTGAATTAAAAGAAATTTTGAAAAGAGGACAATCAAGGGTGTGCAACTTAAGCTATCATTTTTTTCCCCCAGATAGCTCTGGAGCCTGGAGCTTACCATGGCAGTTCTAAAGCCACAAGACCACAGCCCCAGAAGAACCCTGGAGTCCGGAGAAGCCTCTGCTCCAGTGACAGCTGGGGCTTTCTGTGGTGTTCTCCTGAGGCTCCAGGGAGGGCAGTAGGCTGGCTCCCACTTAAATACCAGCAGAGGAAAGACATCCCATGGAGACAGACCCAGGGCAGTTACAAAAGGGCTGTTTAGATTATGATCTAGTGAAATAAAGTACCAGACCAGGACTCTGAAACACCAAGCTTTACTCCTGTTTAATGGGAATACAACACTTATCTTGCCTCTCTCATATGATGCAAATGAATAATGTGTTTGGAAAGCAGGCTATGAACTAGGAAGTGTTTACAAATGTAAAACTTTACAGTTAAATTTCAAACAGGACTAAAAGACTAGAAGAAAATGTATGGGAAAGATGTGCATGTGCTAACAATAATAATAAATGATGATGATAAAACAATAATTGATACTGTTTAAGGTCTGTTTTCCTTCCTTCTTTCTTTTCCTTGTTTTCCTTCCTTGCACTGTAGTAAGCACTCCTCACACATTAACTCATTTAGCCCTCAGAACATCCTTACAAGAGGCAGGTGGTTGTTAGTATTAATATTATTCCCATTTGTACAGATGAGAGAGCAGATTCAGATAGATTAAGTACCTTGCCCAAAGATGCTGAGCCAGGAAGGGGCTCAGGCTGACCGGAACCCAGTCTTGTCTGACACAAGCCTGTGCCCTCAACCACTGGCCCATGTTGCCTCTCAGGGCACCAACTTCTGAATGTCAATACCATCAACTCTTTACCAACAAAGTTGCAGCCAGATTAAACTGAAGGACTGGAGTGCTCAGAACTAACATCAAAGTGGAGCTAATTCTCAGACAAAAGGAACATTTCTCTGGCACAACTCCCTCTTTTGTTGTTATCTAAAAGTACAAGCCATGTTATCTTAAGTCACTTATATAAACCCACTTTGATAATAATGGGTAATCTGTTCAGTAATTACTAGGTTATTCAGAAATTCTGAGTAGTTTCTAGTAAATTTCTATGGTGTAAACTATCTTCCAAAACAATGAGAAAGGTGAGAGCCTACAGACCTTATGTCAGCGCCTCCTCCACATTGCAAATAGTAGTCCCCCCACAACCCCAACCCAGTAGTAATTCTTCCGGATAAAAGTCTCTCCTTGTTAAATAAATAAACAAACAAAAAAGGTGAGAACTAATAAATGCAAATATGTATTTCTACAGAATATTTTCTAGCACCTTAAGTAATTATTAGTATCTTTTCTTACCTATAGGGAACTTTTTTTAAACTACCTATTTTATAGATTTTGTTCTGATAATCCTCTAAGGAAAAACTGGTCTCTTGAACTTCAAAAAGAAAAAGAAGATCACATTGGAGGAGTTCAATCCTAAAAATCAGAACAAACAAAACCAGAAATCCAGAAGTAAAAACTTTCAAAATAACAAACCTGTATAATGTGGTCTTCACTTGTAATTTCAATTGCTTCTTGACTTTTCTCTAATGCAGTGAATATTGAGTTACAAGCCCTTTATGGGTAGAAAAAAAAAAGGACTGATTAATATAAATACTAGAAATCAAATACAACTTTGGGGTATTACATTAAGTTATTTAAATGTGTTTTCCGTCTGATTATAAAGGTAACAAATGCTAATTCAAGAAAAAGAAAGGGGGAATACTAAAAAGCATAAAGAAGAAATAAACACCTCCTGCAACTCGACTACTTGGGATTGTGACTCTGCACAATTTGGTGCCTTTTCTTCTACCCTGAGGACCAGTGGACCAGGGTGGAAGATGTGTCCGAGTTCAAATCACAGCCCTGCCCTGGCTGTGGGACCCTGGGCACATGACTGAACCTCCTGCATCTCCCTTCTCACCCTCTAAAGAGTCCTCATGAGCACCAAATGGGAGAACAGAGTCAAGAACTCTGCACAGAACCTGGTAGAAAGGGGGCAGTCAATTATCTGTAGCTATTATTTTAAACAAATTCTTTTCACAAAATTGGGATTGTTGGGATGTCTTGCACTATTCCCTGCTTTCTTCACTTAGCCTTATATCATGAGCATGCTCCCATGTCCTTAGTGTTTGAAAACACTTTTTAATTGCATAAGTAACAAAAGTTTATTGAAAAAAAATTAGAAAACACAGATAAAACAAATGAGATACCACATCATACCCTCTGGGATAGCTATGATCAAAAAGACAGATAATAACAAGTGTTGGTGAGGAACCCTCATACATTGCTGGTGAGAATGTAAAATGGTGCAGCCTCTTTGGAAAACAGTCCAGCAGGTCCTCAAATCATTAAACATAGAGTTACCATATGACCCAGCAATCTTACTCCTAGGTATATACCCAACAGAAATGAAGATATATATCAACACAAAAACTTATAGGCAAAAAGTGGAAACAACCCAAACGTCCACTGATGAACTGACGAAGGGATGAATAAAACATGGCATACCGATAAAATGGAATATTACGCAGACATAAAAAGAAATTAGGTCCTGATACATGCCATAATATGGATGAACCTTGAAAACATGCTAAGTGAAAGAAGACAGTCACAAAGGACCATATACTGTTCATGATTCTATTTATATGAAATGTCCAGAATAGGCAAATCTATAGAGAGGGAAATTATATTAGTGCTAATCTAGGGCTGGGGGCAATAAAAAGGTTCTAAAATTGTGGTATGGTTGCACAACTCTGTGAATATACTAAAAGCTATTGAACTGTGCACTCCAAATAGGTAAATTGTACAGTATGTGAATTACATCTCAATAAAGTTGTTTAAAAATAAATAAGATCAAAGCACCTGAAATCCCAACATCTAGACATACCAATTGGTGTTCTAGGCAATTTCTTGTATAAATACATATGTAATACATATATTTATAAAAATAAGATCATACTTTATAGTTTTATAATCTGCTTGTCTCACTGAACAATATACACTAATATCAAGTTTCTGTATCAATAATTACAATTCTTTATGATCACTTTAATAAATATATATTCTATTGTAAAGTTACATCATAATTTATTCAACAAATCCCCCATGACTAGATATTTAGGTTGCTTCCAGTGTTTTTCTTGTATTTGCCTCAGAAGATGAAAAAAAGAAAAAAACTGCCTACTTGTTCATAAAGTGCAGAGATAATATTAACAAACTAACAATAACAATGCTTTTACATTATTCCTGGTATTACTAAACTGTCTCGCTAAACAAGACAAAGCAGCTTAGCCAATAAAAGTTAGCTCTTATTTCTTGGCATATAAAAATCAAGAGATGGCATGTGAACTACACTTCAACAAAGATGTTATTTAAAAAAACCAAAAAACAATGAGAAGTCCCCACCTCTGAAATAACAAGCTTGGAGCAGACGCATCTGGGAGAAGCCCTACTGCGTTTTATCCTTCTTTTTTAATTTTTGCAGATCTTGTAAATAAAAAACGGTATATCATTTGCATTTGTTTGATCACTAGTGAAGCTGAACATCTTTTCATGTTTACTGGCCATTAACATCTCCTGTGAACTGCCTGATCATGTCCCTTATTTTTTCTAGTGGATGTTTTCATTTTTTAACTGATTCATCAACTCTCTTTACGTATTTAGGATATTAACCTGTCTGTCCAATATGTTACAAATATATTTTTTCCAGTTTGTTATTTGTCTAAACTTTTAACAGCATTTAAGTTTTTTTTTTAACTGTAGACAAGTTTAACATTTTTATGTTGTCTAATCAGATTCTCTTCTTTAATGGAATTTGGGTTTTATGCCATACTGAGTTTAAAAAGACTTCATCATCCAATTACATATGTTTACTTTATATTTTTAGTACCTATGCGGTTCTACTTTTTAACATTACGTCTTTGATTCACCAGAGTTTATTTTGGAGTTGGGTGTGAGATTGGGATACAACTTAATTTTCTTTCCAAATGGTTAATCAGTTGTCACAATTCCATTCACTGAAGAGTCCGCTCTTTTCTGTGTTGATTCAAATTGCTGTGTTAATCATACACTAAATTCTTAAATATACTCAAGTCTGTTTCTAGCAGTAACACAAGTTGCTTGTTAGAAGTTTTTAGTGATTTTTTTTTTTTGCTGAGGAAGATTGGCCCTGAGCTAACATCGGTGCCCACCCTCTTCTACTGTGTATATGGGACACTGCCACAACATGGCTTGATGAGTGGAGCGTAGGTCCGTGCCCAGGGATCTGAACCTGTGAAGCCCAGGCCGCTGAAGCAGAGCATGCGAACTTAACCACCACATCACCAGGCCAGCCCCTAGAGCTTTTTAGTGCATTTTAATATCTGCAGAACAAGTCTCTCTATTTCTCCCAATTCTCCAGCCCTAAATATCCCCCTTCCTTCATATTTTCATGTCTCACTTTTTAATGGACATTCTCCTTTGGCTGTCAACTGGCGCACAGAGAAGAAAGCAGGACGTGAGGACAGGCGGAAGACAAAGGACAGAGAGGGAAGCAGTGGATGGACCACAGAGAGCTGTGTAGGCCACATTTTAGAGTTGGGACTTTCTCTTGAAGGCAGTGGGGAATTGCAGAACAGAAACACAAATGGAGTTATATGAGTCTGCAGTGTGGAGAATGGACAAAGAGGAGCCAGGACTAGAGGTAGGGAGATTAACAGACAGTTTCAACAATCAAGGTAAGAGAGGATAGTGGCCTAAAGAGGAAGATGAGTAGGCATACTCCACAGACACTTAGGAAGCAAAATCAGTAAGACTTGGTGATCAACTGGGGTTAGGGAGGTGTGAAGGAGATACAGGGATTTCAGTCCAGGACCACAGGGTAGATGATGCTAAGTTCACTAAGCTAAAGTATTCAGGAAGGTCAGAGGTTACAGTAAGATTTAGGGATTAAAGAGAGACAATGATTTCAGTTTTGAAAATGTGGGTTACAACCTAAAGGACTACCTTTGTCGTTTGCTGCTTGTGAGATTTTGGATGTCAATCAGTTAACCTCCTTGGGTCTCAGTTTCTGCATCTTGATTAGACAAAATAAGCTCTAACATCACCTCCTCCTCCAAAATTCTACTCTCCTGAGAGAGGGTGACAGCCTAACTCACTGTGGGAGTGCTGCAGCCAGGCTGTGGAAGATCCAGGAGTGAGGAACGAAGCAGGCCCAAGGGCAACCATCCACCTCAAGTTTCCTTGCAAATCTGGCAACAAAAAGGAGCTCTTCTGTACACCTTACTAGCCTTGAAACATCTCTGCTTGGCAGCACTTCTTTGCTACCTCACGCTTCATTTCACTCCGTCTAGGAGGTACTTTTCTTCCCTGCATGTGGAACCCTGTGCTGGTCCCTAACTAATGTTAATACTCCAAATTCTGATCCCCTTATCTCTGCTTTGGGCATATACAAACAGAATGATTTCATTCTCCTTTGATCCCCGGTAAAGGAAATGTTAAAGAATAGACCACTCAAAAAAGAAACCTAGGATGACAGAGAGCTGCTAACTTCTTTTTTCTTCTGTCAATGTCATATAATTTTGCTAATTTTCTGCTTTTCTTGGTCTATAGGGAACTAGGTTTCTACTCATTTCACCCAAACAAAACAAAAACAAAAACCTGTTTATCAAAAGAAAATTACAAAATGCTTATTGTAGAGAAGAAAACATGTCACCTACCAGAGATAACCAAAGTTAATAGGTTGGGTATATATGTATATTAAAAGTACTTTTTCTTAAAAAACAAAACATAATTCTGTATATATACTTCTGTATCCTGCTTTTTCATTTACTAGTATTTTGTTTCTTTTTTAAAGATTTTATTTATTTATTTTACCCCCAAAGCCCCAGTAGATAGTTGTATGTCATAGCTGCACATCCTTCTAGTTGCTGTATGTGGGACGTGGCCTCAGCATGGCCGGAGAAGCGGTGCGTCAGTGCGCGCCCGGGATCAGAACCCGGGCCGCCAGCAGCGGAGTGCGCGCACCCAACCGCTAAGCCACGGGGCCGGCCCTCATTTACTAGTATTTTGAAGCCCCATCTTTAAATGTGAGTGTCCAATCGCTAACACGACCACCTGTCAGACATCTAGGCATACTCTGGAAGTCCGTATGAGGAGAGGTGCCACGCCACCACCCCATCCCATTTTAGCAGGTCAGTTACAGCCAAAAGATAGCCGCCCACAACCAAAGTCCTCGCTTGCCTCGCTGCCCTGTGTGGTGTGGTGGGCTTTCCAGAAGCGGCAGAATTACCTGAGTTTCAGCTGCGATCGCACCTCTCCAAACTCCAGCTGGAGCAGTTCGTTATAACAGGCCATGAGGCTGGGGTTTTCTATATACCTCTACAAACAGAAAGGGGATTTTGTGGATAAACAAATGTGCACCTTTAAATTATTATATATATCAATAAAAATAATCTTTTCAACAGACTTCTCAATTTGGTAACTGAAATCTAAAAAAAATACTTTCTCTTTAATGATAAACAGGAAGTGAGACATGAAAATTTATGGGTACCAAATTAGCTTTTAAAAAAACAGGGCTTAAGAATGCTTTTCTTTCAGTGCCTTGAGGTAAGAGGATTTTGGTTGTCTGCACGTCACTAGCAGACGCTAGAACACGTAGGAGGATATTTATTAACTAAAGTCCTATTTGTATTAACTTTCAGGGTGTATTCACTTTTTCTTTTTTTTTTTTTTTTTTAAAGATTTTATTTATTTATTTTTCCCCCAAAGCCCCAGTACATAGTTGTCTGTCATAGCTGCACATCCTTCTAGTTGCTGTATGTGGGATGCGGCCTCAGCATGGCTGGAGGAGTGGTGCCTCGGTGCGCACCCGGGATCCGAACCCGGGCCGCCGGCAGCGGAGAGCACGCACTTAACCGCTAAGCCACGGGGCCGGCCCTGTATTCACTTTTTCAAGAACAGTATGTTGTCCTCTTTAAAGTTGTACAAGCTCAAGTTAAGCAAAAATACGCTCACATTTCTCTTTGCACCTATATTTCACAGAGGTTTGTAACCCCCACCCAGGCAACATTTTCCTACACTAACCTCTAACCACAGCTCAACTAAGCTGACAAAGGATGACCCTCCACAGCACAGGCACCGGCAAAGCTATGGCTTTGCCCAGTATCTCTTACTGCTGTGGACAGTAACTATTCTGTATAATAATCTTTACATGATGGAAATATCTCACAACAAAGCAAATTACATAGTTCTGAGAAGCATGGACCCATTCCACCACTGAATTATGTATTTCGTGAAGACATCTTAGAAGTCACTATGTTCTGTCACATAGTTCCATTCAGATATAAAAAATATCTGTGAACATTTACTCACTCACCCCTATTTCTGTGAACAGCTCTTGCTTTCGCCTGCTCAATACATGGGTAATAAATACTCCATCTGACTGAGGAGGAACCTGAGGCCTAAGAGGTAAGGCATATGCAGGCCACTGTCTACAAGCCAAAGCCAGACCAATGTGGGGGGGGGGCTCCTCGTGCAGCTCCTTCTATTGCCATGGTGAAGGCAGATATCCCCGTTTGGACAAGGATCAGGGTCTTGTCTGGGTGTCAAGCAACCTAAAAATCCAGCTCCAAGTTCATGCCTTAAAAGCTGTAAGACCCTAAATGAGGCACTTAACTTACTTTCTGAGCCTGCTTCCTCACCTGCAAAACAAGACAATACTGCTCCTACCCACCGCAGATGTCCATGAGAACCAAGAAAGATGATGGGAGAGGCACACTAACTGCAAACTGCTGCACCAACATAAAGCTCAGTGACTGCTGTCCCCTGGGAGGGAAGGCAAGGACTACTGGCCATGGGCATGATGGTCCCCATGCCTGCAGGCCAAAACACAGCCATTCACCCACAGAAGTCTGAGAGAGGTGACATGCCTACCAGTTCCCACCTACTGAGAGGGGAGGAGAGCGCTGGCCCTGCCGCTCACTCCTCAGTCAGCCATGACCCCACAGGAACACCCAAGAATCCTGCCCATCTGTTGATCAGACAGGAATAGGGAGGAGAGATTGCTGGGCATAGTGCTGTGCCACTGCCAGCAGACAACGGGTGGGGGACTTAACATGGACAGGGGGTCCTCGGCTGTCCAAGGGCTTGGCTGGTCTCACCTGCTCTGCAGGCGAGATCTTGGGACATGGAGACACGAGTATCTATACAATTCAATAAGTGGCCTCCCATGCATGCAATCAGATTTTTCATTGGATATGAATGTATATATCCAAATTTATTTACCCCAAAGGTGGAAGTCAAGGTTAAAAAACCAGCACATGTGACTAAATGTATAGCATCTTGCTCCCACTGTCTGCCCCTCCCCCTCACTCTCTCTGCTTTGCTCTGTGGGTCTAAACATCCCACCTTCCCTGCCCTTCTCCAACTTTAAATATGTCCCAAGGATTCCACGAGGCATGGAGGATGGAGAAGGGCATGAGGCCCAGGGATCCTCAGGAAATAGACTGCTATTCCCTCTCCTCACCCCAATGCATCCCACGAGAGGGGCTGGGGCCACAAATCCTGTAGACTCCTGAGATGACTTGACCTCACTTTCAGAGAATATCACAGCCACCTTGCCGGGCCCCAACCAGTGGTTCTCAACCCTTGGCTGCATATTACAACTACCCTCAATCTTAAAAAGTAACACCAAGGTACAGACCCCTCCCACATCAACTGAAAACAGACTCTCTAGGGAAGCTTTTCATGGGATTCTAATGCACACCAGCATTGAGAGATACCAAACCCTAACCTTTGAGATTTTAGTCAGCAAATGCTCAAATGCCAAGTACAAGTGAGAAGGCAAGCAGGTCTCCATCCACCCTGAAATCTTGAACTATGGCTAATCCACAAAACAGCTGACTGCTCCCTGAATACCAGAAATCTCACTGTAGTGTAGGCTTTCAGTTCTAGGGCCGGGCTCAAGCCTTGGCACCACTGCCTACCAGCCATGAGATGTGGGAGAATCACCTTCCCTCTAAGTCTAGACACTCTGCTCTGTCACCGTGCCCTCTGTCACTTTAGTATCCTTTTGTTATCTGAAGGTACGGGACCCTGTATGACAAGATTAGTTAGCACTTGTGGTCTCTGAGGACTGGTCACCCACTTGGATTCGTCACCAACAAAATGGTGAGCCTGCTGCTACATCTGTATTTCATAAGTCACATACCTCCAAAATGACTATTTTAAAGCTTTTGTGCTTTTTGCATAGAAGTGTTCTCACAGGGACATGCAACTAAAAGTGGTTCCAGCAAACGCTTCAGGGTATACCTTGATTAAGAGGTCTGGGTGACAGGGCAGGGAGTGTGTGTGTGTCAGTTACTTTTGAATTTTCAAGTTAGCTTCACGATAACTCAATTACACTAAGAAAATATAAGGACCATGGTTTACTAGACCTTCTACCAGGATACTCTTTCCAGTCCACGCATCTGTGCTGATGGACCTCCTTGTGGAGAATTTCAAACACAGCACTTACCAAACACACAAATTTCCACCACTGCATCTATGCTATGCTCTTTCAAAGAGATCTCAGACAAACATAAAGTTTAATGACTTCTGGGAGATGTAGGTAAGCAAATAACCCAAGGCAGGGTGAATAATCTATCCCTCAAGTTTCACTAGAAAGTGGAAGCTTGTAAGGTCCTTGTTAAAAAGAACAGCCAGTTTTGCAGCCTAAGAGTAACAACATAAAGAGCTTCAAAGTAACCTGGGAAAGTTTTTTCCTTGTATGAATGCTTTCCCAGGCAGCTTAGGGAGGGATGACCTACAGATCCACTGGGAATACTGATCTACAACTTCCAACCTGGGATTCTGTCCTTAAAGGAATACTCTCCTTCACGCCGGCTGACTTGGTGATTCTCATACAATCTAATATGGATTACTGGAGGTCAGGGAATGGGGGTAGGTGCCGACGTGTGCGCATGTTGTGGGGTTTGTCAAAAAAAGGAGAGAACCACAAAACTATGTAATAATGATAGTCTAATGTGTGCTTTTTACATAAAATTGTGTGTGTATAAAATAAAATCTAAAGTTCCACCTTATCTGATAAGAATATTGGAATTCCTGTGTTTTTTTTGCCTGCATTTACTTGCTACCTCTTTGTTCTTCTACTGTTAAGCTCCTTTTATCACTTTGTCTTTATAAACGTCATATAATTGTATTCTTGCAACCCAATCTAACAGCCTATCTTTTTCGTTTGTTTGTTTGTTTATTTATTTTTTCCCCCAAAGCCCCAGGAGATAGTTGTATGTCATAGCTGCACATCCCTCTAGTTGCTGTATGTGGGACGTGGCCTCAGCATGGCCAGAGAAGCGGTGCGTGGGTGCGCACCCGGGATCCAAACCTGGGCCGCCAGCAGCGGAGTGCGCGCACTTAACTGCTAAGCCACAGGGCCGGCCCAAACAGCCTATCTTTTAATGGGAGAATTCAACCCATACACATGCACTTGACTTTACTCCTTCCATCTTACTTGGTGTTTATGACTGACTTCACACTGTTTCCTCTTCCTTGTGTCTGCCAGTTTGATCAAGTTGCTGTAAATTCCATATTTCCTCTTGTTAATTTGAAAGTTTTATTAAACTTTTCTGTTCTACTAATATTTACCTTCCTTTTTACTGATCTCTAAAGCAGACATACATTTCTTTACTATTATTTGAAAACAAGACACCCATTACCCCCACAACAAAGTATCTCCTACAGAGTGATGCTCTAGTCTGCACATTTCCCACAAAGATGAAAACTTCAGAATACCTTCACTGCCCACCCCCATTCCACGTCTGCCAGATAAGGCGATGAGAATGCTTTTACTTCCACCTCCTCCCCACAAACATTGACGACACCTAGGGTTTGCTAATCTCATCTAGATTTTAAATACTGAGTTATTATTAAAATTTCTCTTTTGGTATGTCCCTTCTGCTAGAAGAGTATTACACACTCCAGTCTATATTTTTCCATTTAGGTCTAATTTTATACATAGATAAATACATAGTATATATTGTTTAGCTATCATGTTACACGATTATGTATAAAGACATATTATACATTATATACACATATCCACACCTGTGTATGTACATACGTAGAAAAAAAAAGGAGAGCTAGAGAAAGAGGGAGGCAGTGGGAGAACATCCACTGCTCACTCCTTTTCCTCTCCCCATCCTCCCTCATCTTAGCTTCTGTTCTGGTTCATGTGTTGTATGGCTAGAGTCCTTTCTCAGACATTTTCCTCAGACAGGGCTCTTGGGGAAATATAGCTCTGAATTTTATGTATACCCCCAAAAGGAGTATCTATTCTGCTGTGAAAGGTCAACGGTTACTTGGCTGGATGTGTGATCCTTGGGTTGTAGTCCTTCCCTTGCTGTAATCTCTAACCGAAGTGCACACTGTTATTACTGTTTTATACAGTAAATATGTGTTTATATTTACCCATATTCACCATTTTCATGCTCTTCATTCCTTCTCGCATTTCAGACCTTCCACTGGGATTCACCTTCCTTCTGCTTGAAGTACATCCTTTAGAATCTCCTTGTGAGGATCTGCTAGTTACAAACTCTCCCAGTTTCCATATTTCTGAAAGTCTTTATTTCACTCTCATTTTCGAAAGATATTTGTGAGAGGTATAACATTCTAGGTTGGAGGTTATTTTCTTTTATCACACTGAAAATATTATTTCACTGTTTCCTATTTTCCATTTCTGCTGCTGAGAAGCTAGTCGTTAGTCTGTCATTCTTTTGAAGGTAATCTTTCATTTTTTGTTGATTTTAAGATCTTCTCTCTCCTTGTTTTGTTTGTTTGTTTTTTCACTACAATGTGTCTTCTTTTTATTCTACTTTGGATTTGCAGGAATTTTTAAATCAGTGGGCTACAGTCTTTCATCAGTGCTGGAAAATTGTCTTTAAATATTACCTTGCCCCATTCTCTCTCCTGTCCTTCTGGAACTCCAGTTATGTATATGCTAAACCTATACTCTCTATCCTCCACATTTCTTAACCTAACTTATTTTCTATTATTGTATCTCTGTGCTACATGCTGTATAATTTCTTCTGACCTACTGTCTAAGTTTTAAAGTTTTCAGTTATTATGTGTTCATTTCTCAAAATTCAATTATGTTCTGCTTAAAATTTGCTATGTCACTTTTATAGTTTCCTATTTCTTGCAGATATTTCCAAGCTTGTCTTTTATTTCTTTACATATAATAAACATAACTGCTTTATAATTCATGTCTGATCATTCTAATATCTGACGAGTGTGAGGGTCTATTTCTGCTTTTTTCCCCTACTAGTTCTCACTTGCAATGCCTTGGCTCCTTGGGGACTGGGCAGCTCTGACTGAGTGCTGCCGGCTGCCCTTGAACAATTATTTGCAGAAATTCTCTGAGGCCAAAGACGAAGGCATCTTCCTCTGGAGAGAATCTGTATTTGCTTCTGCCAGGTACCTAGGAGTACCACCATCCAGATCCACTTTAAACTAAATTCATGGCTGAGGTTTCTTGATTACCTCGTTGATATAAATTTGGGCTACAAATCTGCCCAAATGTCAGCCTTACATTAGTTCTCTCCCTCACGATTCCCAAGGCTTATTGGCAACCAGCTGACCAAAGCCTTCAGAAGCCTTTTGGCTTAGCAGAGTCCAATAAATCAGAGCTAGGGGTGGAGAGAAAGGGAGCCATATTTGGGTTGCCTTATTTCCAGAATCCTTGAATTGGCTTTAAAGTCACATGCATACATGTCAACATTATAATAACACATCCTATGGTATAACTTTTAATGAGTATTTCATTAAAGGAGACTTTATTATGTTTAGATGACTTCAGCAGGCATAGTTTTGAGAGACTAAGAAAGGGGAGTGTTGCAGATTATTAGATTACCAGGTTATAAAGTTAAACCAAACTGTAACACAGCACAAGGACAACAATTTTTTTTCTTCAAATTAATTCAAAACTTTTGCTGGCTCTGAACTAAGATAAAATAATTTCTCATGCTGAATTATACTTGCGTAACAAAGAAGTGGGTACATACTCTTGTAAAGCCAGCAGCAATGAGGGGCATTACAGGTGATTCTTCTCTATCCACCCTTCAAAAGAACATAGTAAATGGTTAGAGATAGTTTTTATCAATTACATGTCATCTCCTTAACTATTCACTAATTTACATAATACTATGACTGTCATATAATGAGTACTTTTAGACGAATTAGATTAATATACAAGTCAAAAATATAAAGTTGAAAATAGTTTTCTGTTTTAGTTTCATATTTAGCTTTTTGGCAGTATATATTAATACCTGAAATACAGAGATTACACTAACAATCAGAATACAGGAGTAACCATATATCTACTTGATATCTAAAAAATTAAATTAAATTAAATTAAATTAAATTCTTTCCTATTTTCTTCTACTTCCAGTCTATTTAAAAATAAAAAATCCCTTCTTCACCCAAAGCTCAAGAAAAAAGTTTAAAGAACACAGAAATATTTCTTCTATCTATAAAAATGTATAAGCTAAATAATATTTATTTGAATACTGCCCTTCTCCTCACATATTTCTATTCTTTCCTTACCTCCAATTTAAGGATGAAATATAAGATTTCCCCCATTTATGTATACTTCAAATCTTCATAGATATTTAGAGTTAGAAGGCCCTAGGAAGATACCTCTCGAAAACATTCATACTTTTAGGAATGGAATTCTCTGGAGGTTTGCCTATTTCTAAAGTTAAAGGCAGTCCAAAATCACAAAACCTAGCATGAGAGTTGAAACTCCTGCCATGAAGGTAACTGGGAAAGTGAAAGAAAATGAGAAAGAACAAAGAAGAAAAGGCCAAACTAAAAAATGCCATGCCTGTCCCAGCCTACAAGCTGTTATTTGGGCCTCTGTTAAGAGCAAGCATTACAGTGACACTTGAATTTCAACATCGAAAAAAAAAATGAAAGCTTACCTGCGTACTACACCAATAATAACTGTATTTTCTGAGAGTTCTGATGATCTGATAGACCTTTAAAAAAAAAACCAAATTTTAAAATAAATTTAAAGTAATTCTTAAAAAAATAAATACACTTAATTTTTTAGAACAATTAAAGTTGGAGGAGAGGTACAAGGGAGAGCGAAAGATCCCTTCACCTGGATTCACCTTCTTGGCTACTTGATCTTTCTCTCTTTGGGGGACAAACTCCTCATCAATGGACTGTGGTAACCCAACAATTATGGGGTACAAATGTAACAGCTGAGACGATGTGCCTTCTACTTGTCAACTTAAATTGTTTCAGGTGGAGAATTTTCCCCACCTTGGGCTTACACGAGAGAGGTTATTCGTCTCTTCCTATCAAAAGGAAATGCAAGTTTATGTGTATTACCACATGCTGATGGCTATGATTACAGTGGGGATGAAGAATCCCAAGGGTCAGCTCTCCACTACATTCTAAGCAGTACAAAGAAGAGTTCCTAGGTAGAATGCAGGCAAAAACAATAACAACAACTCAAAACTAGGAAATGCAAGATATTCTTATCAGTCAGAAAGAAGAGAATCAACAGCTGATAGAAAAGGTTAAGAATGCAGGACTGAGGCCGGCCCCGTGGCTTAGCGGTTAAGTGCGTGCGCTCCGCTACTGGCAGCCCGGGTTCGGATCCCGGGTGCGCACCAATGCACCACTTGTCCAGCCATGCTGAGGCCGCGTCCCACATACAGCAACTAAAAGGATGTGCAACTATGACATACAACTATCTACTGGGGCTTTGGGGGGAAAAAAAGGAGGAGGATTGGCAATAGATGTTAGCTCAGAGCCGGTCTTCCTCAGCAAAAAGAGGAGGATTAGCATGGATGTTAGCTCAGGGCTGATCTTCCTCACAAAAAAAAAAAAAAATGCAGGACGGGTTGAGAAAAGTAGAAGACACTGCTCCACTGACATTAATCAAGGAGTATGAGACTCCCCACAGAGAGTAACTTCAACTCTTCTAGACAAGCAGCTTCCCAGGAAGCCACGGGGAATGAAAATCCAGCCAAGAGATCAGAGAGGGCAGAAATAAATGTGACACAGGGAGTAGGAGAAGGAAAAGAAACTGCTCCATTGGTGATATGCAACAGCTGTGAACTCATCCTGCTCTGGGGGAAGAAAGCAGGACTCTCCGGAGAAGAAGAACCAGGCCACAGGAAGAGGGAGGAACTCAGCCCGTGGACTGAAAGGAAGACAATCACATGGGAGGGTGACTTCAGAAGGAGTGGAATGGAGGGACCATACCCAGACTGCCTCAGCTAAGTCGGAAGTGTGCTGGCCTCCTGGAGAATGTGTCCAGGATGGGACAGAGAACAGCCAAGATTTACTGCATCACTTCAGTTCTGCTAGTTCAAGAAAGAGAACCGCTTCTGAATCACAGAACACAGAAAATAATCTGAGTGACTATTTCTCATTTCTCCTAAGGACAGTATATAACATAACTATTCCAGATGCATAAGAGAAGTTAATTCATCATATACAATGGATGCCTCAGTTTTGGCAAACTTCTTCAGTAAAGGGCCACATAGTAAATATTTTAGGCTTTGAGGACCATACAGACTCTGTCACAACTATTCAATTCTGCCGTTGTGGCATGAAAGCAGCCAAAGACAATGCAGAAATGAACGGGCAGGACTGTGTTCCCCTTTGCCCACCCCTGCCTTAGAGCACCGGGGCTTAATTTTCTCATGGAACTCAGGCTGACAACGGCTTAGAGTCTAATGATAGACGCAGACTAGATCTGGGGTAGGGAAATTGCTAAGGGAGGGAAAACAGCTCTAGGGACCAGCCAATCTCTCTCATGGGCCACATAGCTCACACCTTTCTCTCAACATTTCTGCTCTTCCCAGTGTCCACTCTACTCCTCCAGCTTCTATCTGCCTATCCTCTCCAGAAAGAGCTATAAGGGCACCGCACGGCTCTACTGCAAGAGACTTCTCAACAGGTCACTGCAGGGCTTGCTGACCAGGTGCCAATCTCTTGTCCAACCGTGGTCTTCCTGCCTGCAGAATAGCCAAGCTCACCCTCTTGGAGAAGAGGCCATGGAAGGGCTGTTTAAGCTTGGAAGAGTGACTGGCAGGGCAGACACTCACACAGACAAGGCCAGTTCACTTTTCAAACCTGTTGGCTAATAGGTTTGAAAAGCTAGCACTAATCTTAAACAGGGAACGAGAGACATGGACTCACAAATGGTATTTCCACGACTTCTTAGGACACTGTACTTGTTCTTGTGTTTATATTTCAATCATATCACAAAGATTTAGAGGGAGAAAAGGCAAATTTAAGTATGCAGCCAGCCATCTCAAACCAGCTCTCATCTTTTTCAAGGAAAAACAGAGATCCGAGCAGTATAAGAGCAAGTGGACAACCATGCAGGTGAACTCAGTAAGTAGTTTTGGATGACCTACTAAGGACAAAGTGGAAGGAAAGACCAGGTTTACCTGGAGATAAGCCGATCCCTGCAAAGGAGGTCTAACACTGTATAACAAGGCAGAGGTGTACTCTAGACTTTTTTTGGCCCATAAGAAGGAAGCATTGGCTAGAAAACAGAAATGACAGGAATGTGGGTTGAAAAATAACACCCTTTACTTTAGAATTCATGAAAACTGAGAAAGAAATCACCTGGCATCATCAAAAGGTACACCCAGAAATTCGGAAGGCAGATTTCTTTCAAGTGAGAAAAAAGATGGGGCAGGAGTTTGTAGCACAAGATTCTGAAAGGCTACACAAGCATATTGGGAAGCTCTCCAAATCACACTACCTGGTCTATCATTAGGATTTGATTTGGTTATGCATAAGAAAACTCCAAAGAATAGTGGCTTAAACTAGATTTGTCTCCCACATAAAAGAAGTGCAGAGGTAGGCAGTCCAAGGCTGCAATGGCACTTTGAAGCATCAGGAACCCAGCTCCCTCCATCTTATGTTTCACAATTATTGTCTGTACATGGTTTCTTCCTCATGGTCCAAGATAGATGCTGAGCTCAGCCATAATATCCACATTTCAGAGAGCCGGAAGAAAGGCATGCACTCTCCCTTCAAGGATACTTTCCAGAAGATGCACAAGACACTTTCACTGGCCACCTGCAAGAAAAACTAGGGAAAGCAGTATATTTTCTAGGTGGCCATGTGCCCAGGTAAACACTACAAATTCTATTATTAGGAAAAGAGTAGAAATGAGTACTGGGGGCAACTACCAGTCTCAAGGCACACTAGGCAACTCCAAATAATTCTGATGATGGTCTCGACACAAAACTGGAAAAAAAGCCACATGACAGCAGCTTACTAAAAGGACATAACAAAGCCCTTTAATGAGTTACATTTTAAAAAAGCACAACTCCATTACTTGTACTTTGCCACTGTTCCCTCTGCCATGTGGAATGAGTTTCAGATTAAAAAGAATGGAATTTACAACGGTAAAAAGGATCTGCAGACCAAGTTGAATCCAGAGATTATATGAAAGCCTTGGCACTCTGAGTTCAATCTTGTTTCTGCATTCAACATATATTTCAATTTTGTTAATGCATTTTGGGTTTCCATGCAGAGCTTTACTTCCTCTATCTCTCTTTATCAAATCTTCCCTTTCATTACAGAGCCCTGCTCCTGTTACACAAAGGAATGTTTCTTCATTTCTTCTGACTACACTAAGCATATGTCTTTTAAAAGAATCTTCAGTTTCTCATAGAAAATAATTTTTTGTCTTTAAGGCTACTCTTTTCCCCTCCACAGTCTGGCAGCTTTTTACAGGCCCCCTTCTTTATCCTATTCATTCATCCTTGAATGGGAGCAACATCAAGGCAGGCCGAGAGTCTGCAGCAGAGAGGGTCAGAGGAGTCGCCCTTGTACCCCTTGGCTAGACCCTTGGCATCAACAGCCATCCTCCTCTTAGGTCTGGGCCTGCAGATCAGGTCAACAAGAGCGAGTTCATGCTCAGAGAGCACTGCCAGCAGGCATGCATGGTCTGCTGCACAGAGTGGACTCCCGGCCTGCTCTCTCCCATTCTCTAGCTAAACCTCAGAATTGATGCAGTTTGCTGTTTTGAAATTGCAATATGTGAAGGATTGTTTCCAGGCCCCTTATGCCTCCATCTCTTCTTACAACATGATAGGAAAAACCACATCTCTGTCTATCTCCCTCTGCTCCCTGTCTTGGGCTTCCTAGTGGAAGTAGAAAGTAAAGAATGAAGAGACAGCAGGGGCTAGAGGCAGGCCTCTGGCCAGCTCACAGAAGTGTTGGTGCTCAGCTGAGAGTGAGCCATCTGTTTCCCAAGTCAGTGTAGCACCAGCATCCCAGGCTCAGCAAGATACAGTAGGAAGGAAGCAAAGCCCCACTCCCTTTGGGGCCATCGGTAATTCAGCTTCAGAGATTGAAGTGTGCAGTGGACATTCCAGGCACAGGCTTCTTTATTAGCCCCACAGTAGAAGAGATACAGTGGGAATCCCTGTTCTTTTCTGTTCTCCCAGCTTCTGACATCTCTGTCATCTCATCCTTGGTTTTTTAATTGCTGTGGTCAGTTTTTGTCTCTTTTGTTACCTTCATAGGTTTTTTGATAGGAAGTTGGGAGGAGGCACTGATATCAGGCACCACACAAGATGGCCCATAACAGCCTCACAACTGGTTGGCTTGCCTCAGCTCCTTCTGTCTTCCACTCCGTTCTCAAGTTGGCAGCCAGAGTGACCTTCCATTCTACTCTTGATGCTCTACTGTACAGAATACGTCAGTGTCTCAGCTGCCTACAGGGTTAAGTCCAAAGGCTTTGGCTCAGCACCCTCATGATCAGGCTCACGTCTGCTGCTCCAGCCTCACTGAGCCACGTCCTATACCTGCCTGATCCAGCAGCCATCAAACACCATGCAGAGGAGACCTGGACACCCTGCCTGTTCCTGCACATGCTGTTCCCTCTACCTGGAATGTTTTCTCCACCTTCCTTCCTTTCACAACTCCTGCTCAGCCTTCAGGACTCAACCCAAATATCCTCCTTGACAAAGGCAGCCACAGCCCTTTGTAT